TCGACAAGTCTACTTATGTCGAATGTGATATACCTAGGGCATGGTATCTTGATTATTAATCGAGTAAACTAACCGATATGGAAAAGGAAAGAAATAAAAGATGTATATAGAAGAGACACGTAGAGAGATATGTACAAATACACCAAAGTTTGACACTGAAGTACTCAAGAAATTAGCATTCATGATATCTGATTCAGGTATGAATAAAGCATACTGGATCAGAGTCATGTTACGTTTATTTGTGCAACCTTGATCATATAACCGGCATGGACCTGCCCTGGAGAAAGACACTCTAAGGTTCTGCAGCAGAGTAACGGAACAATAAAACCTCCCGTTCTCTATTTATTAACGTCTCTCTGTACACGCTTCCTGAAACTGTATTCCTAATCTATCACAAACCATTAATTGTCAGGTTCTGAATTTAGTGTATATTCCTGATGGGATATGTATCATCCTCTGAAGATAATTTATACATTATATAATCCTATCCAAGAGGGAATTATATATATATATAGTTTTGATATAGAATTAGCATTTGATTCAGTAGAGCATATCATGAGAGATGTTACGAGCTTCTTCGTTCCTATCTAACCACATACAAAAGTCAGGATTCTAACAGACTTGGTAAATAGGGTTTGAGTCTAATCTCATACGGCAAAGCTTATCAGTAAAATGTCAGCCATAGCAACAGTAGACACTCGTATTCTGGGCTAAACTCATACCGATACCCGACTGAATTAAGATACCCCATTCGTAATTGGAATAGCTTATGGAGTCATTCTATCTACAACTACTTCACATACAAAAGGAGAATGGTGACTCCCTAATTTTATGATTTTAATCATAGACAACTGCAGATCGGTCACACATCAGGGAATACGTGGAGCTTAGGAGATGTATCCCCTCTACTTACAAACTGTGTAGGTTCTTATGCTTCTTCAAAAAAGATTCGTCTTTTGGCTACTAGCACAATCGGCGAGATGACAGCCAGCTCATCCATGGGTAATGTTGCTCACTTTAATAAGCATAGAAACACATGGAATTCCTGGCTCAAGAAAAATGAATTACCTCCTACGTCTCAAACAACCCCCACTCAGATTAAAGGATTTCCACATTAAAATAATATCACACTTTTAGGAAGTTAGATAATGATTTTGGACAAAAGAGGCCGACATGCTTTTTCTTCGTCCTGTTTCTTATTCAAAATCTGCTGCAGCTCACTCTGCTGGGCCAAAGCCAATATAGCTTTGGGAGCATGAAGCGTAAGACAAGCGCATCCAGCAGCATGGTTTTGGCGTGGACCATGGTCCCCCATGTGATGAAGCAGTTTGACTGAAAGATTATCAAGCGAGTGTTCATTCAACGCTGCTTCTTGCACCAAGTACTCCAAGAGCTTCAAGAGGCGGGCCATTGACACATTAACTTGACAATGCGACCGAGGTTCTTGTCCCTGTCCGCCTCCACAATCACCAATGCGCCCACTTCCAAGGACTTGAGATTGGGATGCTCGTCAAATGGAACACGTCAGCACACCCGACTTGAAAGCCACCAAAACCAATGGTGCTCGTGCGATGTGCTGCCCAGAGAGGAATTTTGAAAGCTGGTACAGACTGTCCAAGTATTTTTCCTCGTCGAAAAACCGCTTTTCCAAGAACTCGGCTGTAACCTTGATCCATTTATGCGGTCTGCCGAAAAGTACTCGAGAACTGCTGCATCAGATTAAAGGATTTTCACATTAAAATAATATCACATTCTAGGAAGTTAAATAATAATTCGGAGTTCCTTCTTTTTAGTAAGGACAATAAATTACGGATGACTTATAGACTTTGTGTATCGAACACTTGGTATTGTTCCGAAAGGCTTATCTCTGCATTAGGTTCATATTGAAATATTATCTTGAAAAGTTTCAGTGCGTAAAGGGTAACTCTAGCTGATTCAACGAAAATCATAATTACTTTCCTTTTAACTCCCAAAGCTCTCTTATGGTAACCCAGCAGGCCTGAAATTGGACGTTCGCTTCTAGCGGCTCACAAAATGCAACGGGGTACTATCGCTTACAGTCATTATGAGGAGATTTACACTCAAATATTTGGTTAGAACATATCGATGACCACAAGGCTCCATAAGGATTAAAATAAAGGGTGGCACTCCCATTAAGACTCAACTTTTGCAAATGGCCACTCCAAGGCTTGGGATGTCGCGTCCCAGTTGCCCTTAAATCTTCCTCCGCAATCAGCTTTCCAAGCATCTCTGCTGGGTCCAACAAGTAGAGTTCCAATCCAACCATTAGCCTCATTCGACATGGTGATACAATGGTTTTCCTCCCATTTCCCGTCCAATTTGGCGTTAATGGCGGCTATAGCCTGATCAATGATAGATCTTTCTGGGGTGCCAGTATAAGTTTCATAAAACTTCCAGTAGAAGCTTGCTGTTTTTCCCCTTTTACCACCATCTGCTTGGATAACAGACCAAAAGAGTGACAGGATGATATCTGTTATAGATTCCTTCATGCCACACCCACTGTTTCCATTCATGACCCGGGTGTTCACTGGCTCGCTCGTTCCCTGTGCCTCTTCTTTTTCGTATTCAATGGCATTAATGACTTGGACATTTAACACTTCGTTTACTTCAAGCTTCACATCTGGGACAGCCTGACTTTCAACAGCAACATTCATTTTGCTACCGGATACACGAGGAAGCCCAACCTCCTCCTCGAGAGATAATCCGGCCATTGTTGCCAAACAGACACCGAATATAGGGTAAACTAAGAAATATTTCACTTGCATTGATGAGCGGCAATTAGTGGAACTAACATCGTATTTATAACTTTCGATCCTCAAAAGGTACAGGAGACATCTGCAGCTGCGTCTTCTTGTTATCTTCGAATAGCCACAGGTACAACGCATTCCCTGTTTAGTTATGAGGTGGCTTTCAACATTACCATTACATCAGATGAAATATTCTGCATTGGCTTCAGTTTGTACCAATGAAGTACTCCTCCGAAAGCTTCCCAAGCATGCGGCTCCTTTTCATGCGGCTCCTTGTCATGCACTATCGCGTACTCGAAATGGATGAATAGCGCGACTAAATCTGCAAGAGGTGCCGATGACATAAATCGAAGTATGCTATAGATTGTATGGATCTATCCATTCCCTAAACCTGAAATTAAAGTGCTGGTGGTAATTCAGTAAGAAGTTCTCTGATTTGTCAACGTTGTGCTCGAAAATTTTGCTTGCGGGGTACGTTAAAGCCACTCAGAGGAACACAAGGTGGAGGTAAATACACAACGTGACAGTACATATGATATGAGCTGGAATCCATAGAAGGGTAGAAGCATTTAATTCACTCATATCAACACAAGGCTGGGGAATATTCTACCAGAAGTTGCCGTGATATGTTTCTTTGAACCGCAATTACTATCACAATAAGAAAAGCTCAGGTTTTCAAACTCACGGTTAGCGTTTATTGTACCTTCAATCAGCCAACTTGCTAAAACTAGGTAGAAGTAGACTTTCTTGATTTTCTTGTAATGACTTAAACGCTGGATAAAGGCTGATTTCAATTATATTTTCATCCATAATGACATGGAGTACATCCTATTAGGCTAAGCTTATTAAAAGTAAAAAAGGGAAGTCTATCATCAGTTGCAGGATATATGTGCCGTGAAAGAACGGATGTACATGTAATTGATATCAATTTTCGGTTTTTCCTGCGATTGTTATACGAAACGGAAATAAAAGAGTTGTTTTTCGCTATGTGATAATGAGTAAGCAAATATAAGTCTTGTCTACTCTATCTTAACATTTGCAATCAGTCCATTTCAATTCTAAAAGCTTTATTCTTAACAGAAAAAAAAAAAAATTAAAACGTAAATTTTTAGTATTCGCATACTTTCAACAATTAGCAACGAAAGTCCTCCCTATATTTGGAAATATCATTGGGAAGGTACGATATTTTCGACGTCATTAAAATAAATGACTTCAAAGTAATTGAAGATATCAGTAAATAATTGATCGTAAAACAAGACAGTTGAGTTGAAAAATGTAATTTACACGTCATCTTTTGTATAAACAGAAAGAATAAAGCAAAACATAAGTATATATACGACCCTCATAGTACACGGCATCTTATAAATGACAAGTGAACTGTTCTAACTGATGTTATTTATTCGAACAAAAAGCGCTTACATATTTGATGAGCAAATGACAGGCTTCCTCGCGCTTATGTCAATACATATTGAGTTACACATTAAACCAAGAATATATTGAATAGAACGAAATAATAAAAATACATCACTTGCGATTAAACTTATCATGATAAATCGAAAAACCGATCATTTTTAGGGCATAGACATCAGTTCAAAAAATCATTGTTGTGATAAAGTTCCATTTCGAAATCAGGTTGGAATTCAGTGTAAAGGGTCTCAGGGTCAGCAGCCATATACTCAGTGTAGGCCGCCTCTTCATCACCGCAAATTTTCAATTTCTCGCCTGGTCTCAACGCAGCATCAGCTAATAATTGTGCTTCGCAGCTTCTCTCCATTAAAGTAAAAAGATACGCAGCTTCATCCACGGTCTGACCAACGGTCAAAAGCCCGTGATTTTGCAAGATAACACCTTTTCCGTCTCCAAGAGAAGCAGCAATAGCCTTACCTTCTTCCGCCTCCAATGCAACTCCACCAAAGTCAGAGTAAACAGAGTGGCTCTTGTAGAACGTACAAACGTCTTGGCTGATCATGTCCAAGGGTCTACCCATGGCACTGAAAGTTTTTCCATAGATAGAGTGCGTATGGCAAGCAGCAATGACATCTGGTCTTGCCTTATGAACAGCAGAATGAATAGCGAAGCCAGCGGCGTTGATCGCCAGTTGAGGACCATCCGGCAAGACATTGCCATGTTCATCACAATGAACCAAGTCACTAGCTTTGATTAAGCCAAAGTGCTTTGCCAACGGATTAATCCAGAATGTGGTTGGATCGACAGGGTCACGCAAAGAAATATGACCAGCAGTTCCTTCAGTGTACCCTTTTCTGGCAAAAACACGGAACGCGCCTGCCATATGTTGCTTTGCCCATTTTCTTTCCTCGTGTTTGTCGGTGAACTTAGGTACGGGATATGGATGAGGCATACCTTTGGCGATATTGTGTGAACCTCTTTCTCCAAGTGTGTAACCTCTGGAGGAGGTCACCGTCACTGAAGAAGGAACGGCTGTCGTGTTTGTCTCGGTAGAAATTTGCGAGGGAGGGCTCATATTGAGAAAAACAGGGGAGTAGGTAGAAAAAAGTGAAGAATTTATACGCCCGATATATAGATATCGGACCCCACCTGAAAAGGAAGTTGACGCGGAATTACAGTGCAAGATAATATGGTGTACTGCACAGCTTGCGCTTACATCCATTTTAAATGACAGATGACTTATAGGGCTACCGTATTTGGCTGTTAACGCTCATACATGTGAAAACACTAAAAGGAATATCAAAAATTCCTTTTTTATCATGCAACTATACTCACTCTACTTACCTCATTGACCGACAAAGAACCATCTCAAAAGTTAATACAAAACCCTTCGAAGATTCAATAAAATAGATAAACTGAGTCAGAGTAAAAAAGAATATTGCAGAAAAGAAAAAGGAACCATATCCAGAGAATACTTTCTCGTCGCAACAAGGGGATTCACAACAGTGCTAAACAGTAATATCTCTGGAGACACAAATATGAGAATCAATTGGTGTTCCATTGGTTTACGTTAAATCATGTTGCGTATAAGGGAAGAGATTACGCTGATTATCTTGAACTGAAAGCTTTAGAGATTCCAGAGCAGTAAAAATGCTTGTAAAGGACTACCATGCAGAGAAGATGCAAAGAAGCCTCGAATTAAGTTCGGAGTTGAAAGGGCACACATCTGTTTGTTTGTAAAAGAAATGAATAAAGCAACTCTATAAAGTAGCTTCTATTAAAGACCGTTGTAACCATGATGAGATTATGATTGTGGCAAGCCCAAAAAGCATTTCGTGCCATACGACATTACTGTCATACCTGCACTTTATTTTTCGTTTGGGTCCAAGTGCAATCTCATCTTGGTATGTGCACCCTGGAAGTTCTATCAACTCGACAGCTGGCCATTGAAAAAGATGCTTATTGGAAACACACTCATATGGTTCTTTGTGGTCCAACTCTTCGGTTTCACAGTGGGATCTCCAGGAGATAATTTGGATGAGTTTGATGATTGTCTCTTTCAGTGTCGGCAAATAGCATGTTACAACAACCCATACCATATTCTACAAGAGGAGTACAAGGACATTTGGGCAACACAAGATTTAGAGTACCACAGATACGAGCCACTGTGGCATTTTGACTCAAGTTTACCATGGTATCTCAAGCTATTATTGTGGAATTGCCCATCCAATTGCGATTACACATGCCAGAGAATTATAACTAAGGAACGAAAAGAAAACCATGATGAGGTTTACCAGTTCCATGGGAAATGGCCTTTCCTCAGAGTCTTTGGTATTCAAGAGTTCGCTTCAATGGTATTTTCCCTCTGCAACTTTATCCCACATTACCTTGGTTATAAAAAGATTAAGAAAACAGCAAATGAGAATCCACAAAGCAAGCAAATCCTTAGCAGAGCGTTCTTCAACCTTAAGCTTATGGCAGTAATCACACAGATGGCTTGGATATTTTCAGCTATTTTTCACGTCAGAGATTTCGATATTACAGAAAAGTTGGACTATTATTTTGCGGGCCTTACTGTCCTATCTGGTTTCTACAACCTTGGCTTCAGATACTTCAAGTTATACTTGCACTCACGCAGGTTTTATGGTATCATTTTCACATTCCTTTGCATTGCCGCTTACGCAGGCCACATTTATCGCCTTGTCACCGATTGGCTGTATACTTACAACATGAGGGCAAACATCTTCGTGGGAGTCTTACAGAATATTTTTTGGGGGCTTTCATGCTACTCGCTTTACACCAAATACTACGAAGAAGAGAAGGAGGAAAAAAGCCTCAACTTAAGTCACCTAGATTACGTTGTACCAGGTCGCACAATCTTGGGAAAATTCTACAAGAAGTCACCAAAACTCTACTCATTATATCCACTAATGATGTGCTTCATAGTTATCTGTGGCATGGCCCTCGAGATTTTTGATTTCCCGCCTTTCTTTTTCGATTTGATTGATGCTCATTCATTATGGCATTTGGTTACAATTATACCTCCGGTCATGGGATGGTACGATTGGCTAATATGGGATGTCAATGAAAACGTTTACAAAGATATCAAAGCAGAGATCGATAAGAAAGAACAATAGTTACGAAACCGTATGTTAGTATTTGTTCTTTCAACTTAATATGATTTAATCGCTAAATTCTTCTTCTTCGGGTGGCACGTATGGAGGTGGCTTGAAAAATTCTTGATCAGCAGCAACCTTCTCTCTGAAAGTCTTTTCATCGTCACAAAATTGTAACAAATACTCCAATTCCAAGTCATGCACTTGTCTTCCTAACATAACTAACGAATGTAAAGGAGCGCCAGCATCGTATTCGGACAACTCTTTCAAAGTACCAGCCTTGAATGTTTGTGTTGGAGATCCAAGACGGGAAACGGCAACACATGGCGTTTCGGGAGTGTAAGCCTGTTCTTTTCTGATTTCTTCGATTTCAAGTAACTGTTTGGCTGCAGTCAGAATGTCCATGTATCTTGGTGGCTCATAGATCAATCTTCCTCTAGCCATGTTTTCGATGCTTTGCTCCTTAACTTTGATATCCAACAACAATAAAGTGTGCAAGCCAATCTTTCTATTCTCCATGATTTTAGCATAGAACGAATCTGGCTTCCAAGTTTCAGTGAAAAACACCAAAGACACAGTTTGTCCAAATTGATACAACTGCAAGCCACATGCACCAACTGCGTTCATCACAGAAGCATTGTGAATGGACTCATATTTGATTCCCAATTCTTTTGCTCTGAGAACCAAGTCTGTATGAGTAGTCGCACCAAAGACATCACCAACAACCAAAAAAGCAATGTCGTCCTTGTCAGCGCCTTCCAATATTTCGTCAGCGCCTGTCTCAACCAACTCCCTGTCAGCGAGAATGATTTCCTTGCCGTAAAACTTTTCCAAGCTCAGCTTATCAGCTGCCATCAAAATCGACGTGTATGCCTCCAAGTAAACTCTCTTACATTTTTTCACCGTCTCAAGACCCCGAACTGTGATATCGGTCTCATGCGATAAACCCAATCCAATTAAGTACAACATGGGAATGTTTCCGGTTCGTCCTGTTTGAATGTACTTTAAACGAGATGAGATGCCCGTCTTATGTATGGACCATGCAGGTTTGTCACTTTTGAACTCTAGCCACCTTAAACAAAAGACAGGCGATGTCTGAATTGCGTCTCCGTGAGAGGAATACGCTTCAGGATTTGAAAGAATATGAGGAAATAATCAAAAGATCAACGGAGTTGGAAAAAGATATTCCGCCACGGCGCAAGCATAACGAACCATTCAAACCAGGAAGAAAGCGCACTCCAGTGAAGATCAAAAAAGAAAAGAAAGACAAACATTTACTCAAAAAGCCGGCTTTTAAACCTATACGGAAGCAAAGCATATTTCCTCATGCTCCAATTCCAGATTCTGCCTCCTTTGTTCAGAAAAAAGTAGCTACGTTTGAACAGCACGTCATGATACACAATTCATACGAGAAAATGATTCAGATGGCCAAAGACCTCTCTGCATCGAAAAAGATAGACTTTGGCCTTCTGTCGAGGCTACTTCCCAAAAATCTTGACAAGGAAAAGAGCAGGTACACTATTGAAAACCGAGAAGGCGATAAGCTATTGTTAGAGGCAGAGAAAAGAGGAGCACTATTCAGCAACGATATTGATATGTTTTTCAGGAAGTTAAGCGACTCACCTTTTCTCCAGGAGCCAGACATGCATTCAATTCCCTTTATTTAAAACTCCTCGCCACTAGGGCTCCATCACATTACTAAACAGCACTACTATTTCCCGAAGTTTGCACGCATCATCAGGCTCTGGAAAAGAGCCCAACATCTGCAAAGCTTTTGAAACATATTCTTGCAAGAGATCATACGTGAACTTAAGAGAGCCACTTTCCTTGATGAACAAGATCGCCTTTGCAATACTGTCGGGATCGTTTTTCCTATCCTCACTGGTTTTGAGGTCAAGTAAAACATAGTGGAGGGCGGACTTCTCTTCATTGTGGAGCAAGCAATGCAATACAGGTAATGACAACTTGCCCTCGATAAGATCTTCCCCAGCCACGCCTTTCATTCCAAAATATCGCTCATCAATTAAATTCAAATAGTCGTCACGGATTTGGTATATTATTCCCAAAAGATTTGCAAGCGGTATGAGGGTCTCCACTTGAAGAGGAGACGGGGAGAAAAGTGCTAGCAATTTCACAGAGAGACGAAATAATCCGCCTGTTTTGTTCATCACCATGCTTAAATATTCTTCAATAGTAGGTAGGTTCTCCATAATCTCATGGAGAGAGTCACGCCAATATATATCGAGGCCTTGCCCCTGGTGCAAGTTCAACATTTCGTCAACCAAAATGCGATTGGTTTTGCATTCAATAACAGAGGGATTCACAACCGTTAAATCCGTGCCACTTTGACCATATCCAATACCCTTTTGTTCCTGTAATTCAAGCCATAAATTCGGGAGTGCAGTTATAGCACGTTGTAGGGCTACGAAATACATCAAGTTTCCGCTGTTAATAGTCAAGGGAACACCGTATTTCGTATGGGCGCATGGATGCCCGCGTCGAAGCTCCAGGCTGTCTTCAATGTCATCAATGAGTAATGAGGCATTGTGGAAAATGGCGATAATGTCGCCAATCTCAGACAATACCTGGGTATTGTCGATCTTGAAGAAACGCATATTGAACGCCACTAGGAACCGATAGCGCATATTATTGTTATTTCCCGCTAGCTGGGCAAGATACAGATACGGTGCAAGCACATTCGACGAAATTGAATCTTGTTTGTCGGTGGAAATCACCCGGTCGATATCAAGCAACATGGCTTTCCATGAAACAGACTTCACCACTTCAGATTAGGCGTGAGGCATGTAGATCTTTGTGCGCGCTCTAAATGCCACCGCATGAAAATACAAGAAGCGGTCTTCACTTGAACAAAGACCTACATAAACAAGAAGCCTTCCATCATGGATAACTTCTTTCAAGCTGCGGTAAACATTCCGCCCAACACATGCATTTGGCTTGGTCTAATATGCGCACTGTCGCTAGCTACCAGCAACCAGCTTATACCACAAGCAAAGTTGGTTTTCGTTCGAAACAAGATGTGGGACGAGCCTTGGCGAATTATAACGCTGTTTGTTTATTTTGGCAACACCCTGTGGAATCTAGTGCAGATGGTCATTCTGATATCACGATACCTGTCGTTGTTTGAGACAAACTACATGCTCCATCCGAGCGTGATACCCAAACCACTTTCGGCCAGGCTCGATACACAGCTGCGGGAAAACTTGCGGAAGGCAATGCATTCGCTTCACTACTTTGACTACAGTTACTTTGTCGTTATTCTTCTGGCTGCCCTATTTGCAGCTGTATGCGTGGTGGAAAAAACCTTGCCTGTGCAAATTTTCATATTGGGACCCATGTTGAACCGGTGTATCATCTACATCTATTGCCGAATGTATCCCAACGAGAACTTTTTCTATTTTGGCTTCCCAATGCGGGCACGTTACAGCCCATGGATATCAGCCATGTTCGATTTACTCATGGCCTCAGACTACGATACATGGCTCAAATTCCGGTACGGAGGTTTTTACGTTGCCGCTACACTGTTCCTAACTTCGGAATACTTTTGCTCCACCGCCATTTCCTTCATTGTTGGTCACATATTGTGGTTCCTCCAGTATTTCCTCATGCGCGACGTTTACGGTGCTTGGGTATCACAATTTGACAAGTATACCCACAATTCTTCGGTTATAAAAACTTGCATAGACGATTCTCCGAGAGTGTTGTTGCAGCTTCTTTTCACCCCACCATGGTACTACTACGTGATGTTTCAGATTTTGAGGGACCAGAGACAAAGACAGCGAACCGAGCAGGTCTCGAATACCGATAATGGAGCACAGTGAAGGATACACCAAACAACCGCTTTGGACACACGCATTAAACAGGCAATGCAGTTTGTACTTCCTTTCTTTTTTTTTTCCTACTTCATGTTGCAGGAAGATCACGCACTAGGTGCGTTTTTTCCGATATCAACTCAGCCATGGGGAAAGGAGGTGCGACCGCGTACAAGCGCAAAACGCAGAAATACGTCGGTACGTAGAAACCATGCCAATCATATTAATTTCTTTTACTTTTTCTTTTTCTTTCTCGTGTTTGTATGTTGTATTCTCTGGGATTCATGTATGTACCCCTTTGGGATCTCTCGTCTCGCAAGTGGACACTCAAAATCTATGGTGTAAGGATTCACCGCACACATGATCGCACTTCCATCAAAGCCGAAAACCGCAAAAAAGGACGGGGCTGTGTGGAGACGAGTAAACGACGTAATTTGTATATTTCACACTCCAAATTCTCATCCGAAAGCATTCCGAATTAGTTCCTTTTTATTCCGTTTCAAGACGCAAAACATTGCCTCGAGAAATCAATTATTATTAGCGTGCCTGCAGACACTAAAACCCTGTAATACACCCCCAGGCGTAATCTCTCATATCTACGCATTTGTCCCGCTTTCCTTTCCTAACCCGACCGACAACTAAAAGTAAAGAGGCGGCAACCTTCTTTTGAAATATGTCCACTTTGCATCAGGTGACTCAAGAAGTCACCGATAATATAGCGAAGGAAATTCATCCAACCGTTTCCGCTTTAGTGGAGAGCTTTACTATCTACCTCAAAGAACCCCGTTACCAGAACCCACTCACATTGAAAGAGTTGGCCATTCTTTTCCAGGCTTTCTACGCTGATCTTAATTCCTTGTGCATCCAGATATATACGCAGCTGAATACTAACAAGCGCCTGCTTCTCCGAAAGTCTGCATTCTTCAATGATCGGCCTGACGTGTACGATTATTTAATTGCCATTGCGAACTACTCTGCGTCATCTATAAAGTTGGTTAGGCGATCAGATGCCAAGGCCCTATTCCAACTTCGAGTTTTTGCTTACTACAAATTCCTTACCATCATCAACACAATCGAAAAGGCCACATATGACTTGTTCACTTCTCGAAACCCCGGTGACAAGTTTACATTGTACGATAAGATTTTCCGCTTTGATCGGAACGATATTTTGACACAAAAATTGTTGTCAGAGAAAATTCATGTTTTTCGCCAATTGAAAATGCCACTCAGTTACTTCTTCGAGCATCCTAGTTCAGAAAAGAGTCTAAAACTAGATGCTTTTTTCGCAGACCTAGATAAGAATGATAACATCATGTTGAGGAAAATCCAACACAGCTTCAAACTGCTCGATGAAGTTAGGACTCCATCAGCGAAGTTGAAACATATCGTGAAGGTGCAAAAATTTTTGATCGTTTTATTATCTTCATTTTATGATGACGACAGTTCTAAAGTCAACAACGATATTCTTCTACCGGCACTCATCTACATCATCATATATTATCTTCCCGAAAGCAGTCATGGCTGCGGTCTTGATCTCTTCTTGAACTTCACCTTCGTGAAAAACTTTGTCAATTTGCTTTCTCCTTACGAAGTTGATTGCACTTTGCTCACGCTCGGATCTTCCTTGTATGCATACGATCCCACTAACAAGAACCGAACATTTACGAAAAGTTCCAAAAAACCAAGCTCAAACTTGTATGAATTGTTGAATTTAACGGATGCTGGACCACAAGAAGAAGATTCTGATCCAGATTTCCACATTGATGAGAAGTTGTTCGAGTCAGACATACAGGTTACCAATTACATTCAGACCAAATTCTTGAATAACGGCGAATTACAATACTACTTGACCAACTTCGAGGCTATACTCTACTTTCTTATGAACACTACGATCAAGGAAATCGTTCCAGAAGATTTTGATTTGCCTGATTCGTATGTGAATTACGAACCAATAATGAAACCATTGCATAAAATTGTCGAAGAGACGAATAAGCGCAGAAACTCACATTTAGATGCGACCCAGCATGAACAAGAACATCTGCAAGCACAAGAATCGGAAGCCTTAAATGCAGAGTTAAGAAGTAATAGGTCGCGTTCATCATCTCTTCTTAACACCATCACTAGTGCTGTTTCACAGTCTGTCTCAAGGTCAAGATCCAACTCCACGGCACTCAAATCTCCGTCCCGTGACTCATATCCATATGGAACTGACTTTGAAGCGTCGCTAAATGGATCATTGGGCAATGATGGTTATGGCTTAGGACGCATGAGGAATATTCTCGGTAGAATAGGTCTGGTATCAAGCATGCAGTTAAAACCCCACTCGCCTGATGATGAAGCCGAAGGACATGCTTCGGGAGATGGAAATGCGGGCGATTATTTTCGCTTTAAGGGCTCTCTGTCATTTTTGGAGAGAATGTCCCCTTCTCCTACAAGAACGAGGTCTGCCTCTTTGGGAAGTCAACTAGGTACTCCAAATTCATCTAGAAGAGCTACCTTGACCACTAAATTTTCTAGTGGAGTGACTGATTTCATGAACAAACTCGGTGCAGTTACGTCGGCTGCCACTACCCAAAATCTGTCGGAAACAGTCGTGGAACTGCCTCTTTTAGCCAATCAAGCTACAGCTCCAGCACAGCAGTGCAATGGCGTTACCAACTAAATACTCCTCTTATACGCGCATCTAGGATCTTGTGTATGACATGCTGTAAAATACAGAGCCCTTATTGGAACACATTATGTAAACCTCTTTTTACTGGAAGAAGTGCTTAAAAAAGTGAAGGTTATGCGAATGCGCAAAGTTCACATACGCGATAAAACAACCGCGATAGTATTCTCATGATTACTGTGCATGCCGAACAAATGCGCTTAAAAGAGGGAGATAAGACCATTTGAAGTAGTTTTTTCTTTCATGGTAATCAAGATGAATTTGTGGCCATATGGTAGAAAACTAGAGTAGTTTTTCTCTTCTATGGTTTTCTGGAATGGACATTAGATGAACCATAGTTGGTTCCTGCATGAATTTAAAGTTTCCAGAACAATCTGTAGATAGGGATATAAACCGAACAACATCATCTATTGCCCACCACTTCCATCTATATCCTATATGTATGTTTATGTGCTATGACATCTAGAGTTGAAAGCACGATGCCGTTTCCTCCAGGTTTTGAAGGAAGACAGAGAAGAAAACATCGCATGACTGATGACTTAGAACCACCACATCGTTCGACTAAAAGAGTCAGAATTGACCAGCTTCTTCTGCAGCTTAGTCTAGATGGAAAGCCCGTACCAAAAGAGCCAATTGCAGAGTTCTCTATCAACCCTTTGGTGGAAACATTTGAAAATGACAAGCGCAAGAAACCGTCGCTAGAATCTTACATCTCGGGGAAAATGATGGACGAATACTGCGAACAAATCAAGAGTAATATGGCGATTTCCCGATATTTCCAACCGCGTGCTTTGGTTGTGTACCACTTCCAATTATGGGTTCGCCGTCTTTTCAATGCATTTGTTCGTCTGTATAACCTGAGTAACAAAACACGCAAACCTGTCAAACTATTCAAAAGTTACTTCAGCATCGTATGGTTGGTGCAAGACCCCACTGTCCAATTCACAATGGAGGATTTATGCAACATATTACAGCAGCAAAACCTAATTGAACAGCAGAAACTAGCACTCAAAAAAGATAAGCGCATGAGTGACAAACGTCTAGAGGAAATATATGATGAGCAAAAAATCCTGCAAGAGTGCAACTATCTGTACTGGAACAGATTTGCCAAGATACATCAAGACACAGAAATGGAAGATGTCGACTCTGAGGTGCTGGACACCAAAATGTATGTCGATACTGATAGTTACGCAGGAACACCGGCTGGGGAGAGTCCGATGGGCTTTGAGGCTAATTACGGTTCTTATTACGGGACAGAAGCAAAGTGTTGATGATGAATAAACGGTTGGTTGTAACCGTTCGTCAATCAGTTTCACAAGGCAAAATAAATCAGAAAGGTTCAACTGAGAATCATGCGATGTCCCATCGAACCAGCATCATTGATGTTCTGTAATGCAACTAACGTGTAGAATAATCTAACGGTGTTAAGTGTATTCCTAGAGTGTGAGTAGCCCAGCAATGATTATTGATCCTACATTGGAAGGCCAACGTAACGACTAATATGCGATTTTCAGAACCATTGTCTCCTCAATTTCACTCAAAATACGCATGTGGGGCTTCAATTACAAAGTCACCTTAATAGCTACATATCCATTACATCGTTCTATTTTTTGCGTTTAGATATCTCGCCAATAAGTTCGATTGAATTAATTTGACTGAGAAGCGTAACAAAATTGCCTGCACACAAAACATCCAACCCTCTGAACTACGGCGATTTTTCACACTAAAACAATATCATAAAACCAACTCCATCCTTTGACCTGCTGTGCCTGTCTTGTGTTGTGGGTGATTTTTTTAAATACACGTCAGCAAGCATAACACATCTTCCAGGATGTCCCAAGAGTTTGATGAGGAAGAGATCCGCACGAGAGATCCGGTGGATGACCAAAATTCGTCTGAAGAAGGTGACGACGTGATGGAAGACTCCTCGGAAGAAGAAGACGACGATAATGATGAAGAGGCTATCCGTAAAGTGAGGGAAGGATTCATTGTTGATGATGACGAGGAGGATTCTGTTGAAGGAGTCAAGAAAAGAAGAAGAAAACACAAAAGAAGAAGAGAAAAGGAAACACAGGAAGAAACAGTGGACGATGCGTTGGACGAAGATGATTTGGAGCTTTTAAGAGAGAACTCCGGTGCAGCGCCTCGTCCATCAAGCAGCAAGTTCAAGAGACTCAAAAGAGCCCTGCCCGACGATGATGAATCGCTGGAAACTGAAACAATACAAAAACCAAAAAGTGGTCTCACGGATTTTTTTTCGGACAACGAAGATGCAGCGGAGGACGACCGTGCTCCTGGCGATGAAGAAAGAAACATTCTCGATGAGTTTGAAGACTTCATTGAAGAAGACGAGTTTTCTGATGAAGAAGAGGCTCGTGCTCATAAAGCTCAACAACAACGCGAACGGGCAAAAAGAACTGGTCCCAAGTTGGACACCTCCAAATTGTCAAGTGTCGACAGAGAAAGTTTGCAGCAGTTATTTGAAGTTTTTGGAAATGGCGCTGAATACGAGTGGGCTTTAGAAGCACAGGAAATCGAAGATGAAGGCAATAACGAACAAGAGCCAACTGCATTGGATGAGGTGTTTGAGCACGCGGAATTGAAAGATCGGATGCTTACAGAGGAAGACAACATGATTCGTATCATTGACATTCCGGAAAGATTTCAGAAATACCGAGCGAACTTGAATTACATGGACTTGGAGGGTGCAGAATTGGAAAAAGAAAAGCTCTGGATTGGCAAGATTCTTTTTACCGAAAAGCAAAGTACGTTCCAAGGGCCATTGGAAGCTCCATTCTTTGAGGCGGTAGGCAAGGTTGTCGAATTCATTTCCAAGGATAACTGGGAAGTTCCCTTCATTTGGGCACATCGTCGTGATTTCTTAATTCATACTGAGGAAATTGTGAGCCCAGAGGGTACGGTCAAGACAAATGTACACAAGTTGTTGTTTGAGGACGATTTGTGGAGAATCGTGCATCTTGATATTGAGTACCATTCTCTTTATGAGAAAAGGGTGAACACTGAGAAGATCATCAAAGCCTTACTGGTCGATGATGAATCCTTGAATGACATTGAACTGTTGGAGACTATGGTCGCTATTCAAGATTTACAGGATTACATTCATTTCACCTACTCAGCGGAGCTCAAGAAGATCGAAGATTCTAAGGACCAGGAGGACGCTCAGGAAGAATATGAAGATAAGAAAGGCACCAAAAAACATTCAAAGTATGCTATTTTCGAAAGAATCCGTGAGAATGTGCTTTATGATGCTGTCAAGGGATTTGGAATCTCTGCTAAGGAATTCGGTGAAAACGTGCAAGATCAATCCACTAAAAACTACGAAGTGCCTTACAGAATTCATGCCACTGATGACCCATATGAATCACCTGAAGATATGATTGGTAGATTAGTTGAGGATGACGAGGTGTTGTTCAAAGACCCCAAAAATGCTTTGAGTGCTGTCAGGAAAACCTTCGCTGAAGAAATTTTCCACAATCCTAAAATCAGACATGAAGTGAGACAAGTTTTCAAGAATTTTGCGTCTGTCAGCGTGGCCTTGACGGAAAAGGGACGTAATACCATTGATAACCACAGTGTCTATGCGGACATTAAATATGCAAAAGACAGAACACCTGCTGATTTGGTGAGCAAACCAGATGTCTTGTTGCGCATGCTTGAGGCTGAAGCGAATGGATTGATCGTTGTGAAAGTCAGAACTAGTGATTACGAGAGCTGGTATCAATCCATTTTCAACTGTTTGAAGTCAGACGGTACATCCGAAATTTCTGAGTTGTGGAACTCTGAGAGAGACTTAGCATTGTCTATGGCTTTCAAAAGATTGACGTCAATGGTGTCTCTTAACACGAAGGAAGACTTGCGTCGTGAGTGTGAGAGATTGATTGGCGTCGAGCTAAGAACAAGATTCTTGGCGAAAGTGGACCAAGCCCCATTCACTCCCTTTGGTTATGATAAAGGAACAAAGCCAAATGTCTTAGCCTTGTCGTTCGGTAAAGGAGATTTTGACAGCGCCGTTGTGGGTGCTTTTGTGAGGGATTCAGGCAAAATTGATGAGTTCTTCAAGTCGGACAACAACCCTTCGAGAGACAGAGAAAGTGAAGAAAAGTTTTCTGGTCAATTAAGAGAATTCTTCGACCGCACTCTTCGAAACCGCAAACCGGACGTCATTGTTGTGTCGGGGTATAGTGCTGCGACAAAAAGACTTTTTGACATTGTCAAAAATTTTGTCATGAAGGAGAACTTGTTGGCTAATGTTGACGACTTGCCCAATATTTCTGATCCTCCATTACTTCCAGTAATTTGGGGCCAGGACGAGACTGCTCGGTTGTATCAAAATTCTGAAAGAGCGCTCATTGAGCTTTCAGATAAGCCAACCTTAGTCAAGTACTGTGTTGGCTTGGCTCGTTACGTACAGAGTCCATTAATGGAGTATGTGTCATTAAAGGATGATATTTTATCTTTGTCTTTCTACGAGCACCAAAAGCTTCTTTCTCATGATATGATCAAGGACATATTTGAAACAGTCTTTGTTGATATTGTCAATATGGTTGGTGTTGAGATAAATGAGGCTCTTCGTGATCCCCAAGTTGCTCAACTTTTATCTTATGTGGCTGGTCTTGGTCCAAGGAAAGCTTCTGGATTGATTAGGAACATCAGCGCGAAATTGGGTACCTTATCAACTAGAAGCGACTTGATTGAGAATGAACTTTCTACAGCAAACATCTTTTTTAACTGCTCTTCATTCTTGAACTTTCCATATGACGAAGGGTTATCTGTTAGAGACTCCTCTATCGAATTATTGGACGCAACAAGAATTCACCCAGAAGACTACAGTTTGGCCAGAAAAATGGCTGCCGATGCCCTTGACTTGGATGAGGAAGACATGGCTCATATTGAAGAACAAGGTGGTATAATCTATCAGTTGATGCAAGAGGGTGTTAGTAAAGTGGATGATTTGAACTTGACTGCTTTTGGTAAAGAGTTGGAATCCAACTTTGGCAAGAAAAAGTATGCCACTCTTCAAAGTATCAAGGAAGAGCTTGTCAACAACTATGAGGAGCTTAGGCGATCTTTCCATTTATTGGACAGTTCAGAAGTGTTCAAAATGTTGACGGGTGAAACAACTGAAAGCTTCTCAAGAGGTAGTATTGTTCCTGTCACAATCAATAGAGTTGGTAAGAACTACCGGGATGAAAATGCTAAGATCAAATTTTTGAGGGTATCGACATCTTCTCAAATTAATGGTACAGTGGAGGAAGGTTACATTTTGCGTGACGCAGACTACGTTCAAGGGCAAGTCATTCAAGTTGTTGTTTTGGATGTTAACTACGAAAGTTTTGTTGCGTCTTTCAGCACCTTACCTGAAGACATTGAGAAGGCCGGAGTACCCACGTTCTTTAAGGACCCGTTGAAATGGGATTTTGCTTTGGAAGAAGAAGACAAGCAAAAAGAAAGAGCGAAGGAAAACACTAAGCTCGCAAGAACAAGAAATATCCAGCATCCTTTGTTTCACAATTTCAACCACAAGCAAGCTGAGGAGTTTTTGGCACCTCAAGCTGTGGGTGATTGTGTTATAAGACCTTCTTCTAGAGGCCAGAATTACTTGACTGTAACCTGGAAAGTAGCTAACAACTTGTTCCAACACCTTAGTGTCGAGGAGGTTACGAATAGCAACGGCAAGGAGTACATTGTTGATCGCAAGAGATACTCGGACTTGGATCAAATGATTTTCCAGCATGTTCAAGCTATTGCGAAGCATGTGAATGAAATGTGCCGTCATCCAAAATTCCGTGAGGGTACACTTGGTGAGGTGAATGAATGGTTGGAATCTTACACAAGGGCGAACCCCAAGAACAGTGCCTATGTTTTCTGTTATGATCACAAGGCCCCAGGTTGGTTCTTGTTACTATTCAAAGTGAATGTCAACACTCCAATCACAACGTGGCATGTTAAAACAGAATGTAACGGTTTTGTTTTAAAGGGTTTTTCGTATCCTAACATGATGCGTTTGTGTAACGGCTTCAAGCAAACCTTCAAGAGTCTTATGAATGATAATTCCAGATCTGCAAGACAGGGTCAACCATCTTCATACAATGGTGGTTATGGATACTAGAAACTCTTCGAACTACCGCATACTTTCCCACCTACTATCATGTTTTATTAATATCATATATTTCAGACTTTATGTAGTATTACATTTTTCTTTCTCAGCGGTTAAGTACGCGTAATTTCGATCTGAAGCTATCGCCATCCACGTAACAACCCATCAACCAACGATCACCTCCATTGGAGTCAGAAAATTGAAGTCTGGAATGAAGGACCCGTCTATTGTCAAAAATAACGCAAGTGTTTTCAGGCATTTTCACGACGTACTGATTTTTGGGATCATTGATGAACTCTTCAAATTTGACCATTCCTCTCATAAAATCTTTAAACAACTCGGGATTCTCATCTTTAGTCACCCCAAACTCAAAATTGCCTTGAAAAGGAGGGAATAGTTTACTTCTTTAATCCTGGCCTCGCCTGTCGTGAAGTCTGGAATGTAAGGGTCTTCCACAATCAAAGGTCGCAAATAGTAGTAGTACTCGCCATTGTTATCATAATGATATGTGATTGGAACTTTCTTCAAGGCTTCATATGCAACTCTATCATTTTGTCGAATGTGTTTCACGGCTGCGAAGGAATCGCTGAAGACATTCTCTCCTCCCAATGTTGAATTTTTGATGAAATGCAAAAGTTGGAGCCCTGGAGGGGACTCATAGTAGCACAAGTCCATATGTAGAGGTAAGAACACGTTCGTGTTGGCAATGTTCTTTGCCTTCTTTTCATTTTTCACATCAAAGAGCGTGCCGTAAAAAGTTTTTTTGATGTAACCAAAACGTTGGGCCAACTTTGCCACAGGCCAGAGCAACTCATTATGGGGAGTAATATGATGTGTTTGCGGATTGTCCAATGGATCCTCCATGTTATCGACAAAAAAAATTCCATATTTATTTAGGCCATTTACAACTTTCCTAAAGTCGTCAACTCCTTCAAAATAGTCCTTATACTCCACGTGGAGGTTGTGGAGGTCCTCAACGATTTCTTCATTTGTCCAAAATACCTGCCTCTCTGGAAAGAATTTGCCCTTCATACGAGATGGGAGACTCGCATGCTTTTTCAAAAAGGCTTCAGGGTAGGTGGAAACATGAACTGATCCATCTGCTTGCTTCCATTTGATCTGAAGAGCATTCCCATTTTCAGTATCGACAATGGTCGGGTCCTCGGCAAGCTTATGATTCAAAGCCACTTGTGCCGTGGTAAATGACTTTTGTCTTGTATCAACATCAACAGACTCTGGAGCATTACAGGAATCTCTCAAGAATGCCGTCTTGAACGAAACTCGGATAGGCTTTTGGTCGTCCAAATCCACCGTTACCGAGGAATTATCGTGGGAAACAAGAGACAACGACCGCGTTGCATAGCTTGGGGAGCAGCGAGAAATGCGAAGAAAAGAACGACAAGAAAGCATCAGCAATAGGACACGCGAAAGTGGGGTTGATTCCAGCGCTTTCAGAAACGTGGAAAATGTGGGGGAACGATACGTTCGAAAATGTGGGGCGACTCGCGAAACCGCATAGAACATGGAAAAAAATAATGACACCCACGAGGTTCGAACTCGTGCCTCCGAAGAGACCAGGAATATATGGTAAGGTAACCTTACCCTGGCGCCTTAGACCACTCGGCCAGAGTGCCAATTACATGGTGGCTAGAGTGAAGACAAAATATGTTCTTTTATTAACTGCACTAATTTCAAAATGTGCTCTACAAGTTATTTGTTGCTGATATTTATTGATATCAAGTCTATAAAGTGAATAAACCTGTTCTTCTTTTTCCAAACGGATAGACCACGAGCGCCGCAGCGAACAATCCAACACTAATACCAATAGACACTTCCACCATCGTAGCACCGAAACTCAAGGAGCTCAAATCGGTCGTTCCAGAACTATCCTTAGTGGAGTTCGTGATCTTGTTAGCGGTGTTAACACCGGCAAGAAGTGTGCTTTTGGAGGCAATACCAGATGGCACTTGCACAAAAATAGCAGGTAACATGGCACTAACTGCCATTCCTCTCCCCACACGGGAGTACATATTGCCTAATATCCCAATGATAAAAGCACCAATGGCAGCCGTAAATTCTGTCACATTTGAGAAGTGTTTTCCGGCAAAATACGTCCCAATATATGCAATTGAGGAAATCAAGATCATTATCGGAAGCTGAGTGTATCTAGCCTGATTGATAAGGCCCAAAACGAGGGAAAATAAGGGCACAAACAAAATTCTCCACTTGTCATCTATGCTATGGCCCAGTGGACATTGCGCTGCGTCTGTGGCATTTTTATCGACCCATCCGTATAATGCAGCACCCAAAGTGATGCCAAAACCCAAAAAGAGAGAGTAAATGATGGCATAAAACATTCTGACCGAGCCTGCAACAAGGTTTTTGGCCTGAAGCTCTAGCGAGCCACACAAAATGATATAGCCGGGCAAAATTAAAGCGAGTGAGCCTTGAGCAATTGCTCCGAAGCAGAATAGATTACCACTCCCGCCTCTGATAGAGCCGATCGCTCGAGAAATGAAGGAAACGACAATTGACGCTGCAACCTCAAAGAATGAGGAGTACAAGTTTGATTTGGAAGAGACAATGAATTGCAAGTATCCAATGCACAATCCGACGGCAAAAGAAGTAGGGACATCCCACCAGCCACCGCCAAAACTCCATGTGCAAACAGAAGCAGATCCAATTCCATAGAGGAAAACACAAACCCATGGGGAGTACATGTTTTTCCTACTCATCAAAGCCTCCAACTTTTTAATGGCCTCTTCAACACCCGTCAAATCGTGGATCACATCCTTATAAATCTTGTGAGTGTCAGACAATTTGGACAAGTTTAATCCCTGGGCGCACCGCACCAAGTGGACTTCGGAAGTTCTCGTAGCTGCATCACCAAATGCCACAATCATGGTACCCGGAAAATATACAAACTGGCCATCAATCTCAAGCACACGGCTAGTCATCACCATGTACTCCTCTAACCGATGTGTTGGGGCTCCGTACAACATCAATGCACGACACATACGAATGATAAACCGTTGCCGCTGAAGTATGTCTGCAATATGAACAGTAATACGCAACTTTTGGTCTTGCCTTTTCTTGAACTTCCTACCCAATCTTTGTGGAACTTTGGACTCTGGACGCGGTGCTTTGGGCCTAGCATTCTGGAACGACGGAAGATTAGCTGCGTCTCCATCCAAAGTAGCCGTGGCTTCATCACTTTCCGATCCAAAATCATCTGGTGGATTCGATGAATCACGCTTGTGCTTATGACCGGTGAATTTGTTGGCAAGACGACGCGGACCATGGCGTAAATTGCTCTTAAGCTGTGTGAAATCATGTGTAGAGGTGTTCTTTGCGCTGTATGGGTCAGGTACGGACTGTTCGTCTGCTAAAGTGGTGAGTCCTGATCCTAATGTTGTCAGTGACTTAGACGCGGGCTCATTCTGATAAAGCTTCAATAAAGAAGAGAGCACGCCTGCGTGCACCTGTTTCGGCGGCGCCACATACGTGTCGTTTTCGAAAATATCTTCTTCATGGTAGTCATCGTTAGCGTTTTCTCGAACCAAGTCAGGGTTAGGTTGGTAGAAAGTACCTGTGTGCGAGCTTGGTGTTGCATCCGGTGGAGTCAGAGTCGGTTTCTCCTCGTTTTCCATTAAAAGAGCCGTCAGATCGTCGTTCGGGTCCACTTCTGGTATGGATTCCATTTTCCTTCGACTAGTCTCTGGTACATGCAAAGAGATTAAGTTTTGTGCCTCATCATTGAGCTGCGCAAAATCTAATCGCTGCATCTCGATGTTGTGGTCCTCGGGCATGCCGCCGGCCCTTTTTTCCTCGTCGTCCGCGCCCGATTCTGCATGCGATGCGCCCGGCGCCAAGCCACCGCCGCTGAGGCCGCCGCCCGAAAAACTCAAAACGCGCCCCAAGAATGTGTCTGAGCGCGAAGGCGCACCCGGGTCGCCTTCCATCAGGTCGGCCAACGACATTTTGCGGAAAATGTTCTTAAAGCCCTTTTTCTCACTCTCACCTGATTTGACAGACCGCAGTCCGGACGACTGGCGATGGAGATCTGTTACATCGGCCTCGGCATCGGAATTCATTTGTCTCCGCTTGGGCAGTGCCGATTCATGATACTCTTGCGGCGCGTATTCACCTTCATCTGAAGATTCTTCATTATATGTGCGCAGTGGATTTATAACGTGTTGCATGTCCAACGAGTTAATGTCCTCGTCATCTTCCAGGGAGAGTGTTTCTGTAGTGTAGGGCACTTTGAATGAAAAATGTGGGAGATCCTTAGAGCTTCCTTCAGGTGTCGGGTCGTCGTCTGAGTGTTCGAGCCGGCTATGGTCCGAATCAAGCTCCGACAGAAATGACGACATGTTGGATGAGTTGCTTATAGCCGATGCGGGTCGTGTTGGATTATCTGGGAACCGAACCGATTTGTTATGGGATGTGAATTTTTTCCTAGCCTTCGCCAAATTGTCTTTGGCATTCAGCTTCTGGTTTTTCTTGCGGAGGTTAGCCAAGTTCACCGTGGGGACGCTGATCTTGGGCTTGTACTGGGCCTCATCGTCAGAAGAAGACAAATCGGACATTCGGTACGTTGTTGAAATTCGGTGATTTCTTCGCTTTCTGGAAACACTCGGGTGTTATAGTGTGCCTGGAAGCTATCATTACATCATAGGGTGCACTCATACATCTCGCACAGCGAATATCCTTCACATAAACGCGCATGCGACATGCGACCTGTTTGTGCCTCAGGCCAGTGTCCGCCCCGTTTCGATATAAAGCCGCGTCGAACAAAATAAGAGAGAAAAAAATCGCAACATTGAAAGAAGATTCTATTCCAGGGCACACAATCAACCCAGATGTAACCGTCTACGCATGTTTAGTGCTCAGGTGAAACCTGCTCGGCCTTTTTACAACTGTTTGTCCGCACTTTGTCTTTTTCTGCACGCAGATTGCTACTCCTGCGCCTACATGCAAGTTCCGCTTCGATACAACGGCCCTTTGTTAAAACCTAAACACTCTCCTCCCATTGGACTCCACAATACTCCTGGACGTAGCCAACGTGATGCTCATCCAATTTGGGCATGTAGTCCTCCACATCAGTTGCCACCACGATAGTGCCCCATGCCATGCCGTTCAAAATATCAGCAACCGATGTTTGCGCCAGTTGCTCAAGGTCCATGATGGCCTTCGGCATGAGCTGAAGCTCAAATTGCCGGCGCGAAGACGGGTTGTACGCCGGATCTGGGATTCCACCCGTAGAAAATGCCTTGGCCACATCGTCTTTTCCGTTGTAAAGAAGAGGTTTCCCTCCCAAATCGTACCGAAGAACTTGCGATGGGTTGTGGCCTACCACGCTAGAGAAGTTTTCAAAGTGCTTGTCGTTAAGCATGCTGGCGATCTGGCTATGTTGAGCATTGACGCTGCCGCTGGACATGCTTCTTTCGCGTGGCTCGTCACTCTCTGCGCTTTCTATCAAGTGCTTGTACTTCTCCAACTCGGGCTCCGTCGTCTTTTTGAACTTCTCTTGCTCGGTGAAAACAAAAAATCCAGGGTACTCTGGCAATTTCGTAGAATTTTTGACTTCAGTAGCAACCGTGGGTACATTAATCTTGGACGCTTCAGCATATGTGGGCACTTTAGTTGTTGGCTCTTCGATGCGCTCGGGCTGTTTCTCCGTAGCATTCTTGTTTGTCGCAAATGGATTCGATTCCTTACTTGACTCAAATGGAGTTGCAGATCCAAATGGATTTCCAGAACCAAATGGGTTTGCAGACCCAAACGGGTTCTCATCTTTTTTCGTAGGCTTTGTCGCATCGAACAAGTCCTTAGTCATTTCAATCTGCAATTTCTTCTTCTCTTCAAGCTGCAATTTCTCGCTCAATAACCGCTGCGTCTCCTCCTCCTGCTCGTGCTCAATCTCCGCCATCCGTTGCGGGTCTTTGTTCACTGCCCGAATAGCTTTCACCGATCCCTTTTGTCTCGAGCAGTGCTGAGTGTTCTTGCACGCAAAGATATAAATTACTCTATCATATGGCTTGCTTTCAATCGGGGCAAACGCTTGTAATAACAATGCCATGTTTTGTTGGCAGTTGTCGCATTGAAGCATTTTCGCTGGTGGTTCAGATTGCGGATGAAGCCAGATGGGTTGGCCACCAATAAACGTATCTTCTATCGTAGGTGCTTCATCCTCCTCTGCGAAAGCGACATCGGTGAAACCCAAATAAACGTTGGATTTGTCGTCAAAAACGTCTTCTTCGTCTGAAGAATACTCGTCGTGGCTGGACATGATGAGATGAGTTGGTGATTTTTCGCACTATCTGATGAATGGAATGGGAAAGAGGCAGGATGAGATGTAATACTGGGAATAACGAAAAGCTCTGTAAATGCAGAAATTAGTTTGTAGTCATTCTCTTTACGGGTTCTTTTTGTTGGCTTTATGATAAATGACCTTTATTTATCATCGACATAACTATTTACAAGAACCGGGGCACTTCGATTTCCTCGAACGCCTCCACCTTATCACCTTCTTCGAACTTGTCCCAATTTTCGAACGAGAGTCCACATTCTGTTCCCTTCTTTGCTTCACTAACATCCTGTTTCACGTGTTTCAAAGACGAAAGATGTCCATTGAAAACCTCTTCACCTTTCCTCATGACCCTCACTTTATTTGCCCGCTTCAAATTACCGGATGCCACCTTGCATCCAGCAATTTTGAAAGTGGACTTATTCTTACCTGTGATTTTAAACACATTCTTAATTTCAATCTCGGCTAACACTTTGATCTCGATATGAGGTGCCAATTTAGACGTGAGCTTTTCTGTCACCCCCTCAATCAAACGGTAGATTATATTATGCTCTTGCAAATTCACGCCAATCCGATCAGCTTTGGCCTGAATGGTTTTGGGAACCTTCACATTGAAACACAAAATCTCTGCCCCTAGTGCTTCTGCAGTATCTAAATCGGACTCCGTAGGAGTGCCAGCTTCGAAAGAAATCACTTTTGCCTTAACTTCATCATTACCGAGTCCATCTATACTCTCCTTGATGGCCTCAGCAGATCCAAAAACGTCAGATTTAACAATATAGTTCACAGTTGTACACTTGGACTGTTCGCTGCTCTCGTCGAAAAAATCGCTAACATCTAAACCGGCCATCTTGAGCTCATTGATCTTTTCCTGTTTTTTGAGCTCCTTGACTTCTTCCTGACGTTTCTCGTTGATAGTTTCAATGTCCTTCGCAGCTTGAATTTGCTTCTTCCTGCTTTCACGATTCTGTATAACTTTACGACAAACCTGCTCTGTCTTTGCTTCTAAAATTTGGTCTCCCCCCTGAGGAAGTTCTTTCCATCCCCACACTTGAACAGGAGTAGAAGGTCCTGCCAGCTTTAACGGCTTGCCGTGTTCGTCCTTCATGCCTCTCACTTTACAGTATGTGGTTCCAGCCACCAAAAAGCTTCCTACTTTCACAGTTCCCCGCCGAACTAAGACAGTAGAAACATTACCTAATCCTTTCACCACTTGAGATTCGATAATCCAACCTTCAGCAGGCACTCCTGTTGGTTCCGCTTTGAACTCGCTTAGTTCGCTTAAAGTGATGACAGCTTCCTCCAATTTATCCATATTCATTCCCGTTTTCCCACTTACTTGAACAGTTTGAGTTTCTCCGCCATAATCTTCAATGTCAATCTCGTGCCGGGCAAGATCAGACAAAACTTTGTCAATCTTGATTCCGGGCTTATCACATTTGTTTATCGCGATAATCATCGGTACACCAGCCTTCTTGGCATGTTTAATGGCCTCGATAGTTTGGGGCATCACTGAATCATCTGCAGCAACGACCAAAATGACAATATCTGTCACAATTGCACCTCTTTCTCTCATACTCAAAAAGGCTGCATGTCCAGGGGTATCCAAGAATGTAATCTTCTTTTTCGATATGGGTGTCAAAACCGAAAAAGCACCAATATGTTGCGTGATTCCGCCAAACTCACCTTGCACGATACTGGATTTCCGCAAATAATCCAAAATTGTAGTTTTTCCGTGGTCGACATGACCCATAATAGTCACAACTGGTGGACGCGCTTTCATTTTCAGAGGATCCTCTGGTGCTGGAAATAAATCCATTCCTGTCTCATCGCTCATGGTCACATCAAATCCATACTCATCGGCGATCAAAGCTGCGTTTTCCTTGTCTAGAATATAGTTGTGCGACATTCCTTCGAACCCAAGGTCCTCCAATTTCTTCAAAAGTGGTGAAAGAGGCACGTTCATAATAGTGGCTAAATTGGAAACTGTAACAAATGTTGGAATGCTAATCTTGATGTTCTCTGTTTGTTTCACGTTCTTTTTTGAAGCTTGGCCCGATTTCTTAGGTGGTTGCTTTTGTGCCTGTTGATTGTGAGGCTTATTTTGCTGTTTTTGAAGACTTTGTTGCCTTGAGCGCTCGTTGAGCCTTTGTCTAATTTTGGTGTATTGTTCATATTGGCTTTCCTTCAGTACCTGTGGCGACACAATTCCATCTGGAGCCTTAGGCACTTTAAGGCTAGTTCCTTCATCTATCGGGCTGTGCTTGCGGCCCTGGTGAATCTTTGAATTCCGCTGCTGATTATGGTTTGGCTTCTTCAGATACATTTCAGCAAAGCGATTCGGTTTTTTTGAATCGCCTGTCGTTTTTTCCTTCGGTGCCACCTTAGGTAAGTTCCGAAGGCTCAGGGAATACATTCGACACCATAGTGGAGTGCGGGCTAATTGAAAACAGCCGTATATTCTCGATTCCATAGTAGTATTGTCACCTATAAACTCACTTTCGTGCGCGACTTCGCATTTTTTTCGGGTCTAGTCAAATACAGTCTTCACAGATGCTTAAATTTAGTATATGAAAGAGGTGGGGATTAAAAGCAGTTTTGTTGTGCCATTCCAGTGATGACACTGCTTCGATCTGGATGCTTGTGTACTATAAAAATTTCCTCCTTATCTTCCTATGATGTGAATACCTAGTTGGCGAAACTGTAATCGCCATTGGAGATGACGTAGCCCATCGATTTGCTTTCGTTTAAAGTAGCAATAAGCTCGTCAATATCCTTGAAGTTCTCGTCATTGCAAGCAAAGTTGCGATGCCTATTAGAGTTGATGTGGTCTTCAAAGTTGTCGTACTTGACTCTGCAATTCTCACAGTAACCCGGTTTTTGCTCCCGCTCCCTTTCGCGGCCTTCAGCCTTCTGGATCTGACGTTTCATGAATATGCGCCTTTTCAAATTATTGATGTTCTTTGAGGGAACTTGCGAAACTGTTGGTCCCAATCCATTTCCTTGTTGGTTCTGCTGCTGTGCCACGCTGTTCAAAGTTGAGTCCATGGAAAACTGCATGGCATTTGATGCTCCGTTATAGCCGGAAGCTGCAACATCATAAAACTTGGACGTTGAGTTATTGCCGCCAGGTTGTACGACAGATGAGAGTCGCATCAACGTAGCAGGAGCTTTAAAATTATATGATGTCAAAGTTGTGCTGAAAACCTGGTCCCGAGACTCAGACGCTGCCTCTTTCTCTTCTGCGGTCTCGTCTTTGACAGTTGACCCACTCGCTGCTGTAGTAGTGCCGTCACTATGCACAGAGTCGGTGCTGGTGCTAGTACCACTAAACATGGAGTTGGAAATGGTGACGCCATCTCTAGCGTAATTGATTATGTCGTACGAGATCTTCTTGAGAAGCTCGCGATAGCTCTTTGTAGCCTCGAACTTTTGTAGTCTCCGCGCTTTTTTCTTCTCCAGGTTGTCAGATGTATCTGGAATGAATGGGCACTTCCCATCCATAGTCAAGTGCAATGAAGGATACGAGTCACTGGCCCATTCGCGAACGGCAATTGGGCGAACAGCTTGCGATAGGTCGTAAACGTAGATGAATTTCTTTTCGAGGTAATGCAAGTCATCCCTTCTAGCATGGGGATCACGGTCTGTCGAGCCGAATATCTTTTCTTCTTTCAATAGATTCGACAAGTTGCCACTCCTCTCCAGACCTGCAGACTCGGAGAAACCCAAGTTCTTTAAAAATCGGAACACCTTGTCGTAGTCCCACACTTTGATCTTGAGGTTAACTGCATCGTGGAAAATGTCATTCGACGAATACACTTTAGAGCTACTGAACGGTCTTCTGCTGACTATTATGCTCACGTCACGATCATAGAATGGCACTATTTCGCATCCCACGGCTTTTAGAGCTCGCTGCGCTCTCTTCTGTTCCTGGCGCTGAGTTTGGTTGTTGGTATCACATCCCTGGGTATCGAAGTACACTACGCTCTCGCGCATGATCTTTCGCCATGATGCTTGCCAGCTCTTCAACTCCTCACCTACTAGGCGAGCAGCTTTGTGTGGTTTCTCCTCAACTTTTTTGCGGGCCTCCTGGGCCTCTTGAAGATTTTCTTGCTCCTGGTTTTCCGGAGGGACGGAGAGGGCAGAGGGCGTGGCCAATTTTACGAGCTTGGCCTTTTTTAAAACTGGCAGAGGTACATTGCCGCTCGTTTCTGCCAATGGCACTCGCTTCCCATTGACAAGCGCCGGAAGATGTCTTTTTCTCGAGTTGTTGTCCATCTCAAAAGGACATGCTTTTAATGCTAAAATGTGTACGATAGGTTAATATCGGATGTGAAGAGTGTGGTTCCGCAGTTGATAAAGTGCTGTGATGTGATGGGTTCGTGGGTTTCGGATTCCCTAGTTTTCGATGGTGAAGGAAAGACGCCAAACAAAGCAGGCAAAGTACGCATAGTCGCGTTTCGGTGGTAGTGCAGGAAAACTAGTCCCCAACAACCGTGCAGTCGTGATCCAAGATCGTGACTATTAAGCTTAAGTGTTCTATTGCTTAAATGATAAACAAGCTCAATGTTTGAACAATCAGCATGTAAATATAGTGCTACAGTCATTTTGTGTTCCCGACTAAGAAACGTACGCTTGCCTGGTTTAAATATCAACCAAACTATTGCCCAGGACTGGGCGATACTCCTAATTCTTTTACAACGCCAATGAAGTATGCTTGGTGCATGTTTTAATAGTTTAATTTCAAGCAAAAAGTGGTAGAATATATTTTTATCTTCTTCATGTGCATCAATTTGCTTGCTGACATTTATTATGTCTTCGTCCCATTTAGTAGCTTGTGTGAGATTTGAGACATTTTTTAAAAATACGCGATTGTCCGAGAATTTTCTTATTTCTGCAACGTACCGGTTGAACAACGAAAGGACAAAAAGGTTAACATCAGAAATATGATATAAAGTCAACGAAAAGAAGTGCAAACTTCTTTGGTATTTTAATAAAATCTGAAGCATCATAGCGTTGTATTAATCATGCCATCTCTCCCCATTTAAACTTTTACACATACATGTTAGTGAAAGACTTATAGAGGTTGTAATCTACAGCCAAGTGACAGGCTTCAGCAACACGTATTAATAACCGGTAATCACTAAGTACACCCGGAATATTCCATAGGTGTAACCCATGCTTCTCTTAACAATCCTTGATGCGCACGTGACCAACTACATTATCGGGCATATACTATCAACCGATACACTCAACACTGGCGTAATCTAAAGCCGCCATCTAAAGCCGACATTTCTTGAGCAGCATTTCCCTACTCTAATCAAAAGCAATCACAATGTTACAGCCCAAACAGATCTTGCGAGTGTTGTCACAGGTTATAACTGATAAGCCATTGTCCACATCAAGCAAGGGCCCGCTTTCAGTTGTTCTTCTTTCCAATAAGGGCCTACCTCTAGCCACAGCCAATGTTCCGGACCTTGTAGACCCGGACCAGCTCAAAATATACTCACTTTGGGCACTTAATTCTTTACGCCAACAAGACAAATCGGGGAACAAAGACTTGGACTGTTGGTCCGTATTGGAATTGGACGAAAACTTGAGGGCCATGGTGAAAGCATTCACTACCTTCGAGGCAAACGATATGCGTGAGGAAATGTATGCCATGCTTTTCTACGAAGCAGACTACGATGATGCCTTGGCCAAAGCGCAGCTAGATGCTGTCACAGATGCATTAAGCCAGGGCCTTGCCGGCTACGTACCAAATTGATTTCTCTATGCTGTTATGCAATAAACAAAATATAGGAATGAAAGAGAATAGAGCTGGGCCATAGGAGGAGAAAATTAGCGCTCCTTCGTAAGCACAGGCTATGCAGAAAACGAAGCATCTAACAATAATTAGTAGCGCAACAATGCCAAGTGTACACCTTACTTGACCATTTCGACGTCGCTGTCCTCTTCCTCCTCGACATCGTCTTCGTCATCAATGTCATCCATTAGGCTTTCTTCGTCGAAGCTCTCTTCTTCGCTGTCATACCAAAAATCCTCGTCGATGGGCTCCTGATCGAGTTCCTTGTTCGACGAGTTACCGTTACCGTAGGCATGAACTTCGCTTTCAGGAATGACAAAGCCTTCAGGGATATCAGCTTTCGAGCGGGTCACCTCTTGCATGACCTTCTTTTTGTACGCCTCTGGATTTTTTCTCAACTCGACAGAAGCGTCTATGTTGGCTGGCGAGTTAACGTTAGGGTCTTCCAAAAGCGACACGATGGAGATCAAGACCGACTCAACTGTCTGCGCTGGCGACCACGTTTCGCTGTCCGGCTCGTCCGATGTAGGGTCACCACCCTGGTGGAGAATGGAAATGCACAATCTCCCGTCTCGGTACACATTGGGATGGTAGATGGCAGGGGTGAAGCGGAAGGTTGGCGGTGAGAAGGGGAAGTCGGAAGGAAAACGCATCTGTCCCTTGAAGTAGCCGCCATGGTACATGGATTCCTTGTTGAGCACCATGATGCCGATGTTCCACAAAAAAATGTTATCGTCATCAAGCTCAATGTGAAAGGACGGAATGCCCTTTTTGGGGTCGGTAAGATCTTTAAACTGCCGCTGTAAGATAGCTGCAGCGGACTTCGAGCTCATTTCTAGTTTTATTCAGTCGAGCAAAATAAAGGGGGCCAGAGGAAATTATGGGATTCTGGTGGTAGCAAGACGCCTGGGGTCGAATAAACAAAAACTCCAATATTAAAGCACACAAATTCTAGATGGGAATGTGAACGGCGCTAAGACACTGGGATGCGAGAGTAGCTGTTTTTTTTTTTTATTCTAAAGCGAAATGGGAAAAGAGGTGTGTTTGTGGAGAGTGTGGGAATTATGCGACTTGGTGAGGTGGTTGTGATTTGTAAGGAGAGGCCATTTTCTTTTTTCCCTTCGCATTTCTTTTTCGTATGCGGCGGGCCACTGTCACTGGAATTTGCGTCGGACGCCGAACTTCGAAATGAATGGGAATGTCAAAATAAAGACAGTAGCACACATTCAAATGACTTTGAGTAGTTAGTTTGCCTGGATGTATTTTGGAGGACGACGAAAGGGCCGGTTTTGCTGTTTTGTTTTTTTGAACGCTAGGGCCACATGCATTTCTGCCCGCACTGTGTTTGTTGGCGCAAACTCCGAATGGAGTCGCATTGGTTATTTACTCAACAGACTCGCCTCGCTTTATCTGTCATTCGTCTTCCTACTTTGTACTGTTTGTATTACTTTCTATTGTCTTGACCGTTACCGTGCGTCTCTATAGTATTTTGCCCTTCTCAAGTAACTGTGCTTAGATTAATTCTCTAGTAATTTGCTCTATTGTACTCAGTAGCATGGGCTTGTCTAGTGCTTGAGCTCCTTTCTATTGCCCTACCGTTTCTCCAATATGCCAGCCGTCTCCGCTATTTCATTCTGGATAATCTGCTCTGTAGGTTTGATGCAGTTTACTATGCCTCAAGCGAGGTGCTACACTACTAGAGCAGCAAAATGTTGACCGCATTCAGATGTTTCGAATCCGCACCTCGATACGATCAAACACAAAACATACTGCTTGAAATGCATTCAGGAAATGCACAAAAATTACGAAAGTCAATCAGGAGTAAACACCGCAAATTATTCTCACACTACCCAGCAACACGCTTAGAAGACGAGCATCTGTTTCGTTCCTTGTTTCTGCTGTTGCATCGTACTTCGTGTCTTCCTTCATCACCATCATCTTCATTATTCTTCCGTTCTGTAATATAGTAAATCATGCCCCTCGTCATTCCCTTCCACCAAGAAATATCTCGTACAAAATGCCTGTCGGACATGTGCGAATCTCTTATCAGGAAATGCCGCAGTGGACACCCGCCTCATCTACCACAAAATAGAGCAAACAAGTCCATGAAAGCGTTTTGAAAACCCCGCCAAGGCCGTCCCCTCAAGGAGAAGGAACAATACCGCCACATTTGCTATTAAAAATTTCCAATTGCCAAAGCCCAAAATTAAATTTCTGGGTACAAGATAAGCACTCGCACTGAGGTCACATGAGGGTAGGTTGCTGACATTCGGGACTGCACACAAAGCCGGGGTCTCCGCCAATCTACTTCCTTCCCCAATATTTCACTCCACTGTGCAACCAAAAAGTCGACAAGTTGTCTTTGTCACTGGTTGAAAAGAATTGAAACGCTATGGATTTCGAAGAACAGTTGGAAAAAGCCGAGAAATTGGATTCTCCCTCTTTAGTAGGGTCCTCCTTGAGATCGGCTGACGACTCTGCCCACCAAAATTACATTCACCCTGAAAAATACAAAGGTGTGAACAAACAAAAGGCCTCTAGGCGCTCCATCTTAAACTCCTCTATTGGCGCGTCTTTGGATGATTTGATCAGCGAGGGCGCTTTATTGGGTTCTGAGGAGGATTTCGACAAGTTTTTGGACGATAAGGGTAACGTCAAGTTCAACGCCAAGTTCCTGGGGAAAAAGGACAAAGATTCGGGCGAAAATGCCGACAGCGACGGCGCCTCTGCAGAAGCAACAACTCCAGAGGAATCTTCGGACAAGGTTGATTCCCACGAGTCCGAAGCCAAAAAGGAGCCTGAATCTACTTCACACAATTCACCTCCAGAAGTGGTTGTCTCGAATGACCTGGTGCCTGTACTGAAGTCCTTCTACGAGGCAGAAAATTACTCGACACCAAACTTGTCAGAATACCAGCTTGACCACCAGATCTCAGACCATTCAGAGCTTTTGAACTCTGTTCAATCTTATGACTTATCCAAATTGCCGTCTTCTAACGACAGGGAAAAGTCCAAGTCCAACGAGCTCTATGCTGCAAATGAAAGAGTGCCAAGAGGAGCGTCGCAATCGTCGCAACCAAATCGTAGCTCTGTCTTTTCCAGATCTGAGGACGATTCGGATAGTGCTAGATTGGTTGAAGCTGATTCAATGCACACTCCTTATTTGCCACGTGACGGCAGATCTACCAGTAGATCTAGAGCAAGTGTGAGAGATGGAAGTGCCAGATCTAGATCGAGATCTTCCTCCGCTATCAAGCCTCACTTGGCTCGCGGAGATTCGTATAAGAGTACACATATGGAATCACCAACGAAGTACGAGCTCCCTCCCGATATGGCTCTTGAAGAAGAAGAAGACGACTCTTTGGACCGCAGAACCAGACAATCGAGACCTACTTTGGGAGATTCCATTGCTGCTGCTGAAGCTGAGGATGCATCTTTCCATAGCGATTCTATCACTCGTGAGCCATCTTTGGTTACAACCGGAGACTACACTAACTTCAATGCAGACATGCCTTCCCAAAGATTGGATGAGCGTACCTTGTTTTCTGTCCGTTCTGAATCGTCCACAAACTATTTGAGAACTATCTCCAGATCAAGATCAAGACAACCTGCTTCCCGCGAACCGAAACCAGCTGTGAATGAGAAGTTGGATTCTAATCCTGAAGAGTTGGTAGAAGAAGGTGCCTTGGTGTCGGATGACCCATATGGACAAGTGTCAAATCTTGACAATATGCTTCAAAAGGTATTGAAGAAGCCTCTGGAAGAATCCGGAACTACAAGGGAGTCAAAAAACTTAGTCAATGATGTGTCAGCTGAAGAAAAGGAAACTGAGACTAAGGAACAGCTTTTGGCCGAAAAAGGCCCCTCGCTCACTTCTGAGGATATTAAAGTGGAAACCGCTGAAGCAGAGAGTGCTTCAAAGCCCAGCGATTATGTGGAATATGCTGAGGATCTTCGCAAAGATGTAACCGAGGAGGAAAAAGAAGAGGAACCCAGAGTCGACCAGCCCGCTGAAAGTTTAATTAAAGAGGCACACGAACAGTTGGTTGCAGAAAAAGCGCCTCTTGTTACGGGTGAAGACATCAAGGTTAGGCTAACCGAAGGGGATGAGAAGAAAGAGTCAACGACCGGGGCAGATGAGAATGAAACCATTGATAAAGCTTGCGAAACATCCGAAGAAAATGATGACTCACCAGCGCTCAAGCAAACCGAAAACGATGCAAATGTTGAGAAAGCTGAGGAAACCTCCGATTCCCAAGAGGACAAGGTTGAGAATCTCACGAACGATGACGCCGTGTCCGAAGAGAAGGAAGAAGGTGAAAAAGTGGTGACTTCTGCAAAGGATGATGATAACGTCTTAGAAGGAAAAGAAACTTCAGAAACTGCCGCAGAAGAAGAGGCCGAAACAAATGCAACAAAGGGTCTTGAAGACTTGGCTGCTGAAACCGTGAAAGAACAAAGCCAGTTAACCGACAAAGTAATTGAGGACCTTCTGGAATCAGCAGTTGAGGAAAAGGAATCAGAGAAAGCTGAAGATGAGATAGACGCCTCTGAAACTTTAGAAGGCAAAGATGTGACTACTTCAACTGAAACTTCAAGCAACACAAAAGCTGAAGTCGAAGCCACCTCGAAAGCTTCTGAGGAGGATGACGATGATATTGATGTATCGCCTGAAGAGTTACGTAAGCATTTACAAAGTTTGCCTATTTACCTTTTCACATCTCTTGCTGGAGGAATGCAGATTGTTCAAAGAACGAACCGTTTGGCGACGATCTTGCAAGGCAATGGCATCAAGTTTGAGTTCCGTGACTTGGGCACAGATGAAGAGGCTAAGAAAATCTGGAGAAGACATGCACAGGGCAAAGCATTGCCTGGCGTTGTTAGAGGGGATGATTTCATCGGCGACTGGAAATACATCGACGACGTTAACGAAGAATACCGTTTGCACGAAGTATTATACGAGACGCTCTAGAGTTTGAGAGAGTGTCACATGTGCAATGATGGGATTTATAGAATAAGTCCAGTCATTTTAAAGTTAGCATATGCAAGACGTAGGACCCGTAGTCATGGTTGGAGAAAGTATGATGTGCAATCAAATTAATGAAGCTGAATCCTTCAATCAGCGAAACAGTTGGACCGTTTGTCTCTATCGATGAGACTAGTCAACGCGCAAATGAATCTGACTGCCTTTTGTCGGCCAATCTGTCTTTGAGATTAGGCTAAGAAACGATTGGTGTGCCGAAGATAATGCAGAATGAAAGAAGAAAAGCTTTACAGTGCTCTTGATCATATCACAGAGTGAATAGTAAGCTTTAGCTTTAGCCAAGCTCATTATCGCAACAGTGATATACATAGTAAAGTACACTGCTCGAGTACAGGCACATGGTTACGAATACTAGCGCATAGGAAGTACATTTACACATGGAGAAGCGTAATCGGATGGCACAAGGATCCCCAAAATGAATGAACTCAACACAATAGCCAACATACTTTTGCAACTTTCTCGAAAGTGGCTTCACCCATTTAGCTCAAATGCATGCGTTTAGGCGACGTAGACAATGCGTCCGCGAGTAAATTACGAGGGGGCGCGACCAAAAAGCCAACGCACTCTATGCCGTCCTATAGTCGGGTTGAAGTTGGTGTGGCCTGAAAAATTCTGTTCCGTTACCACAAGTCTCTCCAACTGACAACGCACACCCGCAAAAAATCGGCATCTTTCTCCGTGCTCGTGTGATTTTTCTGAGTTCTTCGGCTTTTCCTCCGTCTGCTTTCCCGTCCCGCTGCTGTTTTCAGCATTGTCCATTTGTCTCCTCCTACTGAATTGTTTCTAGAATCTTTCAATCATGGCTACCCCTGCTGAAATTATCGCTGCCCGTGTCAATGGCACGTATGTTTCTGAGCCTTATCAAGAGTCTGTTACACCTGTTTCCGAAACCACCGCCTCGACTGACAGCCCTCGTTCCTTGAATGACGAATCGGCTTTCCCGGTATTAGGTGGCCTGTCCAAGGCATCTTCTCCTGCTGCTATTTCTAGCTCCGCTTCCTCCTGGGGTCCCAACTCTACTGGATCCGTTTCCGCTCCCGTGTCTGCGCCTTCTTCCTCGGGCTCGGCCCCCAAAAAGAGATCCTCTGGTATTGTGCAAGAGGCCTTTTCCTTGGACGCCGAAGACCAATTGAACGTGGCCCGTCCCAACTTCATCAAGATCATGACCTCCATTAAGACTAACACTGCCACGAACATCGAGTGTACCACTTCGCAACACACCAAGAAAAGAACATTTTTGATCACAGGTAAACGTGCGGACGTCAAACAAGCCAAACGTCTTGTTATCCAGAAATTGACCAAGCCTACTTCCATCTCCTTTATCATCCCAGCTAAAGTTAGATCTAAGGTAATTGGCGCTCAGGGCCGCAATTTAAAACCAATCATTGAAGAGAACGAAGTCAAAATTACCATTGGCCACTTGGAGGACGAAAACAAGAATGAAGGATCGTCTGATGACGAAGATGAAGCCATGGATATCTACTTGAAGACCGTGGCTGTAGAAATTGTCGGTGACATTGAAGGAACCAAGAATGCCCATGACCAAATCATGGCAATCGTCAAGGAAGAAACCAAAAACTTAGAAGTCCGTATTGCCGTTGACGACAAGATCAAAGCCTTCGCCGGTAAAGCAATTGAAAACATCATTGCCAGATATCCTGAGCTCAATGTGTCTATTCCACCATTTGATTCAGCTTTCAAGTCTATTATCGTTGGTGGTAAAAGGGAAGATACTTTGGCAGCTAGAACTGAGATCCAGCAACGTCTTCGCGACTTGGAATCCGAAATTGTGGAAGTTAAGGTTCCCATTCCGCAAGTGAAGCATCAAATTCTTGCCTATCGAACAGATTTTGAAGGAAGAAAATGTTTTGATAAAATTACCTGAAGAGGGCAAGACCGAGGTCAGTTTCATTGGCGAAGAGAAGCAAATTCCAATTGCTCAAGAAAAGGCTAGAAAGACTACTTCCCAGTATAAGGTGGAAGTTTTAGACATGAGCAAGGCTCACAAGGGTAACTTGGTGCATGTTAAGGCGGTTGCTGCATTGTTGACGAAAAACGGCACATTCAGCCGCATTTCCTCGGAGTATGGCGTATCAGTGCATGCCACTCCAATTGAAAAATTAGAAGATGAAGCGCAGACATCGATCCCTATTGAAATTGTGGTGAAGAACGACGAAGTTGAAAACGCTAAAAATGCCAAGAAAGCTATCGTTTCTACTGTCAACAAGATCACACCACTGCAGACGAAAATTGTTTCCGACATTGACTATTTCTTAATGGACAAGGTCCCGGAAACCCTTGATACAGTGGAAGGTATTCAGTACGTCGTCTTTAAGAACACTATTGTGTTGTTTGACGTCAACGAAGAGGATGGCGAGGATTTCGAGGATTTTGAAGAGTCTGGGTCTGTGTTGGATACAGCAGACAAGGCCCTTGATTCTTTGAGGGAAATTCTGTCTTCATTAGCCACAAAAGTCATCTCTATCCCCTCCAAAGAACAACACGGGATTGAAGGACCAAATGGTACGACTATAAGAATTCTCTTGGACTCGTTAAAACCAGGTACTGTTGAAGTGATATTACACCTGAATGGAAAAGAGCAGTCTCCGGATGAGGTGTATATACACGGATACAAGGCTGAGGTGGATCAGGTTGAAAAGGACATGCACACCATCGTAAGCGAAAACAAAAGGTTTGATGAAACCCTCAAGTACAAGACAACACTTGCTATCCCCACTTCGGCTGTACCTCGTTTAATTGGTAAGAATGGAGCCAACCTCAAGAAATTGAGACACGACTTTGGGGTCAAGATTGACATTGCCGATCAAAAGGATAGCGAGAGTGCAACAGACAAGACACTGAAGTCAGAGGTTGTCATTTCGGGAATCAAATGGAATGCTGATCGTGCCAAAATTGCAATTGCCGAGGCCGCAAAAAAATTGGCTGACGACACTTTGGTTCGTATCCGTATTGAGGCGGAGTACCACCGCCGTATAATTGGCCCTAACTTCAGTACCATCAACAGATTGCAAGACAAGTACAATGTGCGGATCGGCTTTCCATCAGAAGGTAAGAGCGACAGCACTGACGCAAAGAGAAATGAGGTGACGATCCGCGGTCCTTCAAAGGGAGTATCCAAGGCCGAAGAAGAATTGAACGAGTTGTACAAGTTCGAAAAGGAGAATGGACACAAGACCACTCTTCATGTTCCAACTAAGGCTATTGCCAGGGTGATTGGCCGCAATGGTGAAACCATCAGAGATATCGCCGATAGCACTGGTGTCGACTACAGATTCAAACGTGACAGAGAACAAGAGGATGAAACCGGCAATGCCGAAATTGAACTCACTGGTTCAAGAACTGCATTGAAGGAGGCAAGTGAAAAAATCAAGGAAATTGTTTCTGAAGTTGAAAACACAGTCACTATCACCGTGAATGTCCCACCAAAGTACCACCGCGATTTAGTGGGCCCTAGCGGATCAGTCATGCGTGGAATTATTTCCAAAGCAGGTGGTGACAGCTTGTCGACTCAACAATATTCCCGTTTATTGCGGATTCCTCATGAAGGCTCAGACCTGGATGAGGTCGTGTGCCAGGGAAATCTCAAGATAGTTGAGAGCATTGTGGAACAAATCAAGCAACTTGTTGCAGAAAAAGAGGCCACAGTAACGGAGAAGTATGACTTAGCAAAAGAAAAGCACAAGTTGGTTGTCGGTCCTGGTGGCAGTGTCAGACTGCAATTGCAAGAAGAATTCGGTGTGCAGATCCACATTCCAAGACCCAATGAGCCATCCACTGATATCAAATTAGTTGGCTTGCCTGAGAAGATCTCTGCTTTGAGAGCAAAGTTGGACGAGCTTACCAAGGATAACTGGAGCCGCAGTATTGATGTTCCTGAAGCATTCCATGCGTGGGTTTCCGAGAGGGGTGCCATTTTGAAGCGCTTGCGTACTGAGGTTGGTGTCGATGTGACACATGGCAACTTAACACGTAAGGCGACCAACTTATCCAATGCGGCTATCCCTGCACCACCAGCGAATGCTGTACCTGAAGACGAGACTTCTAGCAAATTCACCACAACAGAATTTGTGGTGAGTGGGTCCGAAAAATCCATTCCATGGCGTTTTATTGGCGAGGAATCAGCGGCGAAGAAAGCTGAGCTGATGATTGTTGAGCAATTGAATAAAGCCCAGAATGTTACACATGTGGCGTGGTTCTACTCTCCAAAGGCATCGAGCGACTTCCCAAAGATTGTGGGTCCTCAAGGTTCCCGAATCAACAAGATCCGTAAGAGCACAGGTGCCTTCATCACAGTTCCACGTGCAAATGAAGCTCACCACGACTTTATCTACTTGGCTGGTACAGAAGAGAGTTTGCAAAAGGCGCAAGAGGCGTTCGCCAAATTGCTTTAGGCTATGTATATAATCAGATCTTCATAAAAGAAAACAAAAATAAACTTCAGATGTTATGAAATGGTTTAAGATTATTTAGTAGATGCGTCTTGAAGCGCAGCAGAATCATGGAGAATACAAAGTCAATTAAAAAAATTTGTAACAGTTAACGAATGCACCAAACAAAATTTTTAGATTATGCAGAAGGTTGGTACTTTATTCGTTTACAACTACTTATAGGGCCCGTATTTGCAATGGGTGCTGAAGACTTGCTTCATCACCATTCAAGGTACAAGAGGGCTTTTTTTTTTTCAGTCAAAAGAATTGTGACCTGAGCATGAGAAACACGAACAATCTTCGGTTAGAAACAAGTGTACTGAGCACCAAAGATCGCATTATAATAATTCTTGCTAGCAAAGTGAGTTGAAAAAAAAAATGATTACGTGATCATTTGCGTATGAACCAACTCTGCAAACTATGTAAGGACTCTAAAAAGACTGATTCTTTGGTTACCAATAACCTTTTGTATGTTCGGTTCATGTATGAGATTTCATAATAATCCTATAGTTACTTGCAAATCCACTTATTAAGATAATCATCAATAAATAAGTTATTTTATCATCAATTAACAACACTAATGGAATTAGTACTTTGTACAGAGGCTTAATCAACTGACATGCACATCGATAACGGATAACAATTACGGTACTTTACAAGTCTAGATGTCTCTGACAAATTCGATGAATGCAGATACGAACTAGATGAACAAGAGCTGCACTGTCCATAGCAGTTTAATTGTATGTCTCCGAATGATGACGCCAAAAAAGGTTAACAAATGTTATCGCGTGAAAAGTAAAAAAAAAAAAAAAAAAAAAGGAAGAAAGAAAAAAGAAAGAAAATAATAATAATAGAAGTATAATAGAAGAAAAACCAAGAAAAAAAAAAATGAAGATGGAGCACCTATGAGCTATCCGACGATAGATTGCCCTAGAAGCACTAAACCGGCGCATTCATGCAATAGTCTTGGAGATGAAAATGATATGTTCCGATGTGATTAATTTTAGACAGGTTTGACTTAAACAGATGCACTCCAGTAGATTTCGATATGCCATACCTTGACATTGCGCACGTCTCGAATTAGTCAGATTGATACCTTCGCCATACGGCTTTTAGGCTCGTAAAAGGCGCCACATAAGAAAAAAATAAGAGGCGCCTATACGCCTAGCCTGGATAGCCTTCGTACATTGAAGTAAAGAAGATTTTGATTTGTTCTCTACTGTGGCTCATGTAATGCAAGGTCGCGTTATTAGGGCGAAATGGTCAGGAGCGGTTTCGGCATATAAAGAACGGCGTAGCGATATTCCCACAGTCACGTGAAATGACATAGATGGCCACTTCGTTTGGTGTCAGTTACTTAGCGAAGTGTTTCAGCTACTTGCTTTTCTGCTCTGGAAGGTCGAGACCGAGTCCACAATTGAGCTTTTGTTTCAGCAGTTTTCCTTTTGTCCCGAAAACAAAGATGCAATCACGGATTATGTACGATAACTGATAAGAGGGTGTGGCTGGACAAGAAAAGCAACAGCAAAAGAAACGCCTTTGGTCTTGTGCGAACGCCGCGCCCAGAGACAAAAAGCCGTTCTAGTCCGAGGCCGACCGGGGTTCTTCACGTGACGCACTGGGCATTAAGCTATGAACTTCCGAGGGATTCTTTGGCGATTGCCGGCCCGATGACCGCTTTTCGCCATCTTGCAGAAACTAGGTGTGGAACGTAACCTGAACATATAAAATATGTGAAAGTTCCCTACTACTTGCAGCCAAACCGAAAAATGTCTTCTCTGGTTGAAGTCAAATCCGAAAGTACCTTCCAGAATAAGGACATTCCTGACCTCCAGGTTTCCTCAGACAATGAATCCAATGTCGCTGTGGTCAACATAGATCAGAACAAGAAGCAGATTGGCGTGGTGTCTGCCATCTTTTTGTGCACAAATAGAATTGTTGGTGCTGGTGTCTTCTCTACTGCCAGTACAATTCTTAACCTTTCAGGTTCTGTGGGTACTTCGATGGTCATGTGGGCTGTCGGATCTATTATCGCTTTTACCGGTCTTCTTACTTATATGGAGTTGGGTTCTGCCATTCCAAGAAACGGTGGTGAAAAGAACTATTTGGAATACATCTACCAAAAGCCAAAGTTTTTCGTCACAGCCATGTATGCATCTTACGTTTTCTTTTTGGGTTGGGCTGCTGGTAACTCGATTGTGACTGGTGAATTTCTCTTGAACGCTGCCGGCAAAGAAATCACCAAGTGGAACTCAAGAGGTATTGGTGTGGCAGTCATCACTTTTGCCTTTTTAATTAACTCCTTGCATGTGAAGTCCGGTTTGCTTTTAGCAAATGCGTTGGGTGTCTTTAAAGTGGGTGTCATTGTCTTCATTAGTGTCACTGGCTGGGTCGCTTTAGGCGGAGGTATCAAGAGCAAAAACTACTCAGACCCACACAACTTCACTGACTCTTTCAAAGGCACCACTCCAACCGGCTATGGTATTGTTAATGCCTTGTACAATGTCATTTGGTCGTATGTTGGTTACTCCAATGCTAACTACGCCTTGGGTGAAATCAAGAACCCCGTGAGAGTTTTGCGAATTGCTGCTCCTAGTGCTTTGTGTATCATCGCCATTCTCTATATTTTTGTGAATGTTGCATACTATGCGGTTATCCCAGCAGACGAGATCAGAAAGTCCGAAAGAATCGTGGTTGCTTTGTTCTTCAAGCATGCTTTTGGTAACAAGGCCGAGAAGGCTGCCTCCGTCATTGTTGCATTGTCAACTTTGGGTAATGTCTTATCCGTTATCTTCTCCCAAGGAAGAATCATTCAGCAATTGGGCCGTGAAGGAAGTTTGCCATTTTCCAAGTTCTTTGCTTCCCAAAGACCATTCAATTCTCCTTTCGTTGGATTGTTCCAGCACTGGATTGTTTGTATTGTCACCATTCTTGCTCCACCTCCAGGTGACGCATACAACTTTGTTTTGAACTTGATTTCTTATCCATTGAATGTTGTCAATACCTTTGTTGCGCTTGGCTTGTTGTACCTTAAGTACGAAACTTATAAAGGAAGACGCCAATGGAAAGCGCCTATTACTGCTCCATGGCCTGTGGTAGCATTTTTCTTCCTTTGCTCCATTTACTTGGTGGTTGCTCCTTACATCCCTCCTTCTCACGGCCAGTCGGTTTACAAAAGCTTGCCATACTACATCCACTGTGTTGTCACGTGGGGTGTTTTTGCTATTGGCGCTATTTACTGGCTTTGTTGGACAAGAATCATGCCTCGTATTGGCCATTACACTTTGATTTCAAAGGAAGTTCTCGGCTCCGACGGTTTCTGGAGAAATAAGTTCTTTAAAGTTCCTCATGGTGTGGATCCTGACAGACATACTGAGGAGATTCTTAATGAGGAAGCTCTCAAGGAGTAGCGGTTCTCCCCGACATTCAGTTCTCATGTATAATAAGTGGCGATACAAGCCTATAATGGAAATTCTAATTGTGAAGATAACGTAGGACCTATAATTTGATGGCCGGTGGTAGACAAATTTGTACATCGTACTAACAAGGAAATGTGAGGAAAAACTGTCAACCCGGTGACATATTACGAATGCCATGAAAGATGAAATAAAAACCACTTTCATAATAAATGCAAGAAACAACAACAAACTTCTATTCAACGTGCCAGTTTCTTCGAAGACATAACGCACTGAAGATAGTGAAAAACAGAGCTTGTGACATCCATAGTAATCCATGAGGAGACTAGGACTCATGATAACGAGTCGAATGAGATAAAGCCGAAGGAAACCAACCAATAGTGCTCTCCAGATATATTTTTTACAATTGGGATCTTCAGATAATTAATGCTTGGTCTGAATAATTATGTCAGCTTGAGACGAGTTTCTCGTGCTCTTTTACTCGCTTCAAGTATTAGCAGGGACATCTAGCCAAAGAACAGGAAAGAATAAAGAAAAGAAGATCGAAAACATTAGAATTCATTGTTTGCAAAAATACTGTATCAAGTATCCTTCTTTTAAAGAAATCTAGTATGTGTCTGCGGATATCCTTCGTGATAGTGGTGTGCACACACATTTCGTGTGAAGCAGAAAGCGCAATAGCGTCTGCTCTATGCACTCTCATATTTCTAGCTGTTGAATCGATAACAGAACCAAAAGAGTCACTAGAGGACGAGCTGGAGCGAGTACCTTCGGTGTTGACGATTGGTGTTGACATTTCAGATAAGTACCGTATAGTTAGGATTGATATTTAGGGATGGGATGATCCTTAGAGAAGAATCCATCACAGAGAGAAAAGTAGTGATCTTATATACCAGAGACTGTTACGGAAGTGACCTTCAAGGTAAGATAGGAGAACGGGAAGTCCCGAGGACAGATATGAGATAGGGAGATCCCGACGAGATACGATAGGTCCGAGGGGTCCGCGGCGATCCCGCGGAGGAGGGCCGCGGTGAGGCCGCGGTGTGATCAAGGTAAGTCTGAAGTGAAAAATAAATGAGCCAGAGAATATAGCTGGTGTGCATATAGCATCTTAGTAGTTAGTTCTCAACACTCCCCCAGAAGGTGAACTTCGGTACTTGATGGTAGAAGATCAGTAGGGCTGAGGCCTGATTCACATCGTTGACGTAAAGTTGTGAACTGTGTGTCAGTTGTTGCCTTAGTAAATATATCTGCACAATTCAATTTTGTGGGAACATAGTCAAGCAGTAAAAGTGATAACTGAATGCACTGTTTAATGAAGTCGACTCTGCGTCGTATGTGCTTGGTTCCTTCTAGAGCAATTTCCAGCTGTACAGTTTTGATAGCTGGTTGATTGTCGCAGAATAGTTTTGTGTTGCATGCTATCTTTAGGTCTTTCATTAAGTTTTGTAACCAGACACATTCTTGAGTAGTATAGCATAAAGCAACGAGTTCAGAGTTCGCTGTGGAGAGGGCCACTAGTTGTCTGTAGCTTAGATCTCCAACTTATAGGGGATCCACCGTAAAGGATGACAGCCCCAGTGGTTGAACGACTTCTAGTATCAGTTTCAGAGGCAAGATTAGCGTCTGAATAACAAAGAAGATTATTTGGAGCATCTGGTAAATAGTGCAAGCCAAATGTCTTAGTTCCTTTAAGATATCTTAGAACACGTTTGGCTGCTTCCATGTGCTTTACCTTTGGTGATGATAAATAACGCGATAATTTCAGGACGATATAGTTTATGTCATATCGAACTGTGTTGGCAGCATAGAGTAATTTTCCAACAATAGACCGATATTCATGATTCATCGCATGTTGGGTCTGTGCTGTCTGGTAAGTCGTCAAGATTGGTTTTATTTGCGGGCGTTTTGACTGGGTTACAGTCAGTCATACCATATTCGCGAAGAAGATTGTTAATATATTCTTCCATGTTGACTTTAATTCCATTGGGTGATATGTTCATGTTCATACCAAGGAATTTATTTGCCGTACCAAGATCCTTCATTTGAAAAGCTTGGCCTAGGTGTTTCTTTAGTTGAGCGATTTTATCAAGGTTTGTACCAATGAGTAACATATCATCAACATAAAGTGCGATAAAGATTTGTTCATTATTTTCAATATTGTAGTAGATGCACGGTTCTTCAACCGATCTTGTAAAACCAAGTGACTTGAGAGTCTTGTTAATGGTTTGATTCCACACTAGTGGAGCTTGCTTTAAGCCATAGATGGATTTGTTTAATTTGAGGACATATTCAGTTGTATTGTCCTTAGTGGTCTTTGGAGAAGCCTTTGTATCCTGGAGGTTGCTTCATGTATAACTCTTCTTTGAGTATACCATTTAGGAATGCTGTTTTAACATCCATTTGATGTACATGCATCTTGTGTTTACCAGCAATTGCTAGAAGTAGGCGTAAACTAGTTTGTTTGATCACAGGGGAAAAGGTTTCTTCATAGTCAATTCCTTCTTTTTGAGTATAGCCTTTGGCAACTAGTCTAGCCTTATAAAGGCCTTTGTCTTTAATATTGAAAACCCAGCGACAGCCTATGGGGTTTTACCTTGGGTGGTAGAAGGAACAAGTGTTAAAGGTTCCGTTTTCATAGGTGTGCTTGCATTTCCAGATTGCATGCTTCAACCCAATAATCTTTGTCTTCAGCTCTCATGGCTTTCAGAATAAGAGTTAGGTATTGTTCTGAGTGATTGAGTTTGGTTCAGCATACATTGTGGCAGCATGTAAGATTGAATCACGAGTAGGTATTGTTTCCTGTTGTCCGGATTTACCCACCTGGTTGACCGTTTGAACTAATAGGATATTTGCATGTGAGCGCTTCTTTGAATCAGATGCTTTCATATATTGGATTTTGTCTGGAAAAGTGAGGGAGCGAGCATTTGGTTCACTTCCCCCCTTGGTGGGTAACACCGAATTATTTGCACGAGCACGGGTAACGCTTCGAGTGTGATAGCGAGGCTCAAAGTTTGGTGTCGTAGACGACAGACTTGACGTAGTAGAAGACGAAGAAGAGGTCCTCTTAGTAGGCGTAGGTGCCTTGGTTGTGTGTACCGTAGCATGAGGTGACGGTGAGGGCAGCTCCAGAGCAGGAGCCGGCTTAGTCAAGTTAGGCGCAGAGGTTACTGGTAACTGCGCGACGGAAGTAGAAGGACTCAGGGTCAGCTTCTTCTTTGCAGCCTTACGAGGAGGCATTGGGGAAGATTCCGAGTTCAAAGGAGTCGTAGAAACTTCGGGAACTACAGACGGTGTGTCTGTGTTCAATGTCGTAACAGACAGATCTTTGAACTTTGTCTCATTAAAGATCTCAGATAACGTATTAGTGTCACAATAGAGATCTTGACCAGATAAATTTCTAAAGGAACGGAGGAATTTTGATTCCTGGAAGATACGCCGTTGGAAGGCGAATTATGATTGGTTGGAAGTTTCATGATAGGATTCGCATACGTTAAGAAAGTAAAATTCGTTTGGGCGAAATAAAGCTTGATCAGACCCGAATACTTTCATAAGGTCATAACTGAAAAAGCGATGTCCAGTCCGTTGGATATCTGGACCTAAGTAGACGCATTCAAGCGCATTGGGAGCCAATTTGTTAGTGCGAAGTTCTAATGGAATTGTAACAAAGGCAGTACACCCAAAAGGATAAAGTGTGGGACAAGTAAGCAGATCAGTGGCATGCCAAAGATGAATAGGTGCCTTGTTCTTCAAATTGACACGTGGTGTCCAGTTAAGTAAGAAAGCAGCGTACCGTATAGCTTCAGACCAGAAAATGGGAGGAATATTACCATGAGCCATTTGAGTCCTTGCTTTGTCTTGTAAGGTACGGTGCATACGTTCTGCAATTCCATTTTCAGCAGAACTGTGAGGATGTGTTAGACGAAGATCAATGCCTTTGTCAATAAGAAATTCTTTGAGATTATCATTGAGAATTTCCGAACCGTTATCAGAGCGGAGTTGTTTGGGAAAGTGGGAGGCACGAAGATCGGTATAACTTTTCAGGAGAAAGGATTTGATCATGGTAGAAGTCTCACTTTTCCTAGCTAATGGAATCGCTGTAACGAAGCGAGAGACTCTATCAACAATAGTGAGGAAATACCTTGCATTGTCGTGTGCCTTGGGCTGATCAAAGGGACCACATACATCAACATGAATTACTTCAAAAGGACGAGTAATGGATGTATGCCCACGAGATTGTTTAGCAAACCGATTGACAGTTTTGGAAGTGCAACAACCGCGACATTGTATTAATGGTACATGGACCACTGACTTGGGTAGGTTAAGCATTTGTTTAAACCGCTTTGAAATTGAGGATTCACCCAGGGTGTCCCAAAGTATTGTGCCAACTGGCGAGAGAGTTTATCTACCCTCATCCAGCGAGGCATCGTCGGAAAGCTCCGATGACTCAGTATCGGAATATGGACTCATCAGAGAATACAGATTCAGAGTCCGACGAAATCACCAGTTAAGGGATCCGTAGATGGTGGTGTTGAAATCTCAAATATATTTTGAGTTTCAGGGTCTGACTGAAAGTTCAGAGTGTCTGAGATTCCTTCGTTTGGAAACTCTTGGTCAATAGGTAATATGGTGACAGGAATCTTAATAGTTCTATCTGTGTTACCGCTCACAACTTGCTGGGTGTGAGTGTTAATTACTTCTCTGTTCTCATTGATCAGAACAGGAAGACCAATGTCTCCTAATCCATGAAAAGAGAGTATATTTGGCAAGTAAGGAATGTAGTACACATCAGGAAGGATCTGCTGATGGCCATCCTTAAATTGAATTTTCAAGGTACCAATCGTATCAACAGGTCTTGGATTACCAATGTTGATTGTTTGGGAGATTGGTCTCACATTGGTCAATAAAGATTTGTCATTGACGGTGTGAACCTCGGAGCCAGTGTCGAGTATAAAGATACAGGTGGAATAAATAGAAACATCTTCATTCTTTGACATATGAAGTATAGTTTTATCCGCAACAAACCGTTCATTGTTCAGATGCTTAGAGCGAGCACTGGTGTACACCTCCGAGTTAGAGTTGAAAGGCTTCTTCCTAGAGTTGCCGTGTTTACCATACCTGCCACTTGCCTTGGCATGATGGTTGTTTCCCATGGTCCTAGTCATATCATACTTGGAATCATTCTGCAAAGCATTGTCCTTCATGGGACGCCAAGATGGCTTTGAGTCTTCCATTTCGTTGTACCAATTTGTTATTTGTTGTTCGATATCATCCAGAGACTCCTTTGCTTCAGTAATGGATTCACAAAACTGCTTGAGTTGCTTGTGGTTCATTTTAATTGAACTGAGGGTAAAGAGTTGGCGGAAGGTACGCCAAATGTCCTGAGGACTGACTGAGTAAGCCAAGAGATGGTCCATTAAAGGTTGATAGTCACCGTGGAATGCCATCTTCCTCAAATCGTATTGACGACGATCGATTTTCAGGAGATTCATCTCACTGGTCCAATCGATTTTTGGAATAAGTGCATTCTCCACGTAGTCACGGTTCAAGAACTGGTTTCTTTTCACAAATGGCTTTTTGTCAAGAAGAATTTTCAAGCAGTTGTTGAATTGGTGCTGGACCGCGGTGACAGCCGTATCAATTGCCTCCCCCGAACCATAGAAGCTAAGCCGATAGTCCTCAAAGGAGTACTCGCAGAATTCACTTCCACTGGGAACGGCCAGCAGGAAGTTCTGCTTGAAGCAGTAGTACCACTCCGGGAAGAGTGCTTCATCCTTAAACTCAAAAGGGTTGAGTTTTTCGATCCTAGAGCGGCTCATAACCTGTGAAGCAGAAAGCGCAATAGCGTCTGCTCTATGCACTCTCATATTTCTAGCTGTTGAATCGATAACAGAACCAAAAGAGTCACTAGAGGACGAGCTGGAGCGAGTACCTTCGGTGTTGACGATTGGTGTTGACATTTCAGATAAGTACCGTATAGTTAGGATTGATATTTAGGGATGGGATGATCCTTAGAGAAGAATCCATCACAGAGAGAAAAGTAGTGATCTTATATACCAGAGACTGTTACGGAAGTGACCTTCAAGGTAAGATAGGAGAACGGGAAGTCCCGAGGACAGATATGAGATAGGGAGATCCCGACGAGATACGATAGGTCCGAGGGGTCCGCGGCGATCCCGCGGAGGAGGGCCGCGGTGAGGCCGCGGTGTGATCAAGGTAAGTCTGAAGTGAATAATAAATGAGCCAGAGAATATAGCTGGTGTGCATATAGCATCTTAGTAGTTAGTTCTCAACACTCCCCCAGAAGGTGAACTTCGGTACTTGATGGTAGAAGATCAGTAGGGCTGAGGCCTGATTCACATCGTTGACGTAAAGTTGTGAACTGTGTGTCAGTTGTTGCCTTAGTAAATATATCTGCACAATTCAATTTTGTGGGAACATAGTCAAGCAGTAAAAGTGATAACTGAATGCACTGTTTAATGAAGTCGACTCTGCGTCGTATGTGCTTGGTTCCTTCTAGAGCAATTTCCAGCTGTACAGTTTTGATAGCTGGTTGATTGTCGCAGAATAGTTTTGTGTTGCATGCTATCTTTAGGTCTTTCATTAAGTTTTGTAACCAGACACATTCTTGAGTAGTATAGCATAAAGCAACGAGTTCAGAGTTCGCTGTGGAGAGGGCCACTAGTGTCTGTAGCTTCAGATCTCCAACTTATAGGGGATCCACCGTAAAGGATGACAGCCCCAGTGGTTGAACGACTTCTAGTATCAGTTTCAGAGGCAAGATTAGCGTCTGAATAACAAAGAAGATTATTTGGAGCATCTGGTAAATAGTGCAAGCCAAATGTCTTAGTTCCTTTAAGATATCTTAGAACACGTTTGGCTGCTTCCATGTGCTTTACCTTTGGTGATGATAAATAACGCGATAATTTCAGGACGATATAGTTTATGTCATATCGAACTGTGTTGGCAGCATAGAGTAATTTTCCAACAATAGACCGATATTCATGTTCATCGCATGTTGGGTTCTGTGCTGTCTGGTAAGTCGTCAAGATTGGTTTTATTTGCGGGCGTTTTGACTGGGTTACAGTCAGTCATACCATATTCGCGAAGAAGATTGTTAATATATTCTTCCATGTTGACTTTAATTCCATTGGGTGATATGTTCATGTTCATACCAAGGAATTTATTTGCCGTACCAAGATCCTTCATTTGAAAAGCTTGGCCTAGGTGTTTCTTTAGTTGAGCGATTTTATCAAGGTTTGTACCAATGAGTAACATATCATCAACATAAAGTGCGATAAAGATTTGTTCATTATTTTCAATATTGTAGTAGATGCACGGTTCTTCAACCGATCTTGTAAAACCAAGTGACTTGAGAGTCTTGTTAATGGTTTGATTCCACACTAGTGGAGCTTGCTTTAAGCCATAGATGGATTTGTTTAATTTGAGGACATATTCAGTTGTATTGTCCTTAGTGGTCTTTGGAGAAGCCTTGTATCCTGGAGGTGCTTCATGTATAACTCTTCTTTGAGTATACCATTTAGGAATGCTGTTTTAACATCCATTTGA